GAATGTCATCTGATTGGTGGTATTGGTGGTACTGGGGGGGAACTTTTTTTTCCGGCACTAATATCTGTATCTATTGGTTTGGAGTGGAGGCCATCGACTGTGATTCCACTCCATAAATGACTGGGTTTGGTGTACGATTTCTGCCATTTCCTGCCAGTTTTTTTTCCTTCCTGGCACTAAAAAACCTCTCCCTCTTGAGTGGCTGTGGCTACCCAGGTTTTCCCATGGCCTGGATGTTTTGTATCTTTTTGTACCCTTTAGATGGTGTGTCTGGCAATATAAGTTATAGCAGTGTCTTTCCTGTACTGAAGAGGGACACATTTCAGGGTGAAAAAGCTTACAGGAAGGGAGTTTGCATTTTCCTGTTGTCATATGGGCACGGAATTTTCTAGGGTGGTCAAAGTTGCACGTCCCATCTGTTTTTCCAGATTTCCCATGTCTGCAGATACCAAGTGCATAACTTAAGAAATCGTAATGACACGATTGCAAATAAACCATACCCCCGGCCGGGATTGAACTCGCGGTCATAGAGTCTCAAAACTCCAGCCCGTTGCGTTAGCCACTAAACCAGCTAGCCACAATAAGATTCATCCAACTAGGTATATTTCTACACCATAGGAAGGTTAGCACAGGCACCTCTGTGACCACAAATGCATTTGTGGTCACAGAGGTGCCTGTGCTAACCTTCCTATGGTGTAGAAATATACCTAGTTGGATGAATCTTATTGTGGCTAGCTGGTTTAGTGGCTAATGCGACGGGCTGGAGTTTTGAGACTCTATGACCGTGAGTTCAATCCCGGCCGGGGGTATGGTTTACCAAGTGCATAATATATGCACAGGCTTGGTTTCCGTTTGCCTTGGGTTTTTGTGACTGTATTCCCTGTTGGGGCACATTTTCCTGTCTCATTCCTATCCTCACTAGTACTAACAATGGAGCTCTCACTAGTTGTTTCTGGTAATATATCCTCACTATTGCTAGTGGAGTCCCCTTGTTTGCTATCTCCTGTGGTATTACTAGTTTGTAATATTGGTTTTATCTTGTCCTTGACTACACTTAGTTTCCCCACTACAGCTCCTGTCTCCCTCGAGGCCACTAATAAGCATTTCACCATGCATACAGTTACTGTCTACCAGGACAGCACCTCCAGCCTTACAGTTCCTGACTACCTGGCCAGCACCTCCAGACATACAGTTACTGTCAGCCACGACATCATCCGCACCAAGGGCGATAGCACCATCCAGCCCAGACTTTTTATTTTCCCATCTGTTATAGAATGCTTCCAGGTTTTCTATGACGGCTGCTTTGATGTTATTCTCTTTTAATACCAATGCGACAGTGATGAATGGTGAAAATTATGAATGATGGTGAAAGTGCTGAATGCTGGTGACAGTGATGAATGATGGTGAAAGTGATGAATGCTGGTGACAGTGATGAATGCTGGTGACAGTGATGAATGATGGTGACAGTGCTGAATGATGATGACAGTGATGAATGATGGTGACAGTGCTGAATGATGGAGATAGTGCTGAATGATGGTAAAAGTGTTGAATGCTGGTGACAGTGATGAATGATGATGACAGTGATGAATGCTGGTGACAGTGATGAATGATGACAGTGATGAATGATGGTGACAGTGATGAATGATGATGCCAGTGATGAATGATGATGCCAGTGATGAATGATGGTGACAGTGCTGAATGATAGAGATAGTGCTGAATGATGGTAAGTGTTGAATGATGGTGACAATGTTGAATGGAAGAAGTGATGAATGATGGTGAAAGTGTTGAATGATGGTGACAGTGTTGAATGATGGTGACAGTGTTGAATGGAAGTGATGAATGATGGTGAGTGTGATAAAAGATGGTGAAAGTGTTGAATGATGGTGATAGTGCTGAATGGAAGAAGTGATGAATGATGGTGAAAGTGTTGAATAATGGTGAAAGCATTGAATGATGATGAAAGTGTTGAATGATGGTGACAGTGTTGAATGATGGTGAAAGTGATGAATGATGGTGAAAATGATGAATGATGGTGACAGTGTTGAATGATGGTGAAAGTGATGAATGATGGTGAAAATGATGAATGATGGTGAAAGTGATGAATGATGGTGAAAATGATGAATGATGGTGACAGTGTTGAATGATGGTGAAAATGATGAATGATGGTGACAGTGTTGAATGATGGTGAAAGTGATGACTGGTGAAAATGATGAATGATGGTGAAAGTGATGAATGATGGTGAAAATGATGAATGATGGTGAAAATGATGAATGATGGTGAAAATGATGATGGTGAAAATGATGAATGATGGTGACAGTGTTGAATGATGGTGAAAAGTAAATAAATGGTGGACAGTGTTGAATAAAGGTGAAAGTGAGAATGATGGTGAAGTGATGAATGATGGTGAAAGTGATGAATGATGGTGAAAGTGTTGAATGACAGTGAAAATGATGAATGATGGTGAAAGTGATGAATGATGGTGAAAGTGTTGAATGATGGTGAAAGTGTTGAATGACAGTGAAAATGATGAATGATGGTGAACATGTTTCTTGTTTTGGGTTACGCTGCCTCAGTGGGAGACGGCCAACGCATTAAAAAAAAGATTTAATCGTGTGGTTTTTCAAAACAGTGACCATATGGTTCAAAAAAATAAATTTATATGACAGAGATTAAAGCTCAGATTCGTGATCAATGCATCAAAGTTAACTTAAAGTAACCAATTTGTTTTTTGAACTCAGTTCAGTCTTGTTGGCTTGTGTAATTAACAGAACTCAAATACAGTAGAGGCTCAATTATCTGACTTGCCTTCATTCAGAATCAAAATCAACTGACCAATTTCTGATATGGCTAATGATACACAAATAACCCGCACATAGAAGAGAGGAGCTTACGACGACGTTTCGGTCCGACTTGGACCATTTACAAAGTCACAGTGTGACTTTGTAAATAATCCAAGTCGGACCGAAACGTCGTCGTAAGCTCCTCTCTTCTATGTGCAGGTTATTTGTGTATCGTTCCAGTCATGGTATGTGCCTTTTTTTTTGTTATTTATGGCTAATGATGTATGGGTTAACAGGGCACTTTCTGATTAGCATAATTTCCTAGCTCAAACATCCAGTTTACAAATTGTGGAACCCCTACCTTAACTGCCTGTTTTAATTTGCATATTATCCTTCAGTTAACTGTCTACTTTACTTTACTTTACTATGAGGTTAATCATAGAATTGATGAGGGAAAAAAGGTGAGTGGTGCGTTGAGGTATATGTGGAGTCAAAAAACGTTATCTATGGAGGCAAAGAAAGGAATGTATGAAAGTATAGTAGTACCAACACTCTTATATGGATGTGAAGCTTGGGTGGTAAATGCAGCAGCGAGGAGACGGTTGGAGGCAGTGGAGATGTCCTGTCTAAAGGCAATGTGTGGTGTAAATATTATGCCGAAAATTCGGAGTGTGGAAATTAGGAAAAGGTGTGGAGTTAATAAAAGTATTAGTCAGAGGGCAAGAGGGGTTGTTAGGTGGTTTGGGGCATTTAGAGAGAATGGATCAAAGTAGAATGACATGGAAAGCATGTAAATCTATAGGGGAAGGAAGGCTGGGTAGGGGTCGTCCTCGAAAGGGTTGGAGAGAGGGGGTAAAGGAGGTTTGTGGGCAAGGGGGTTGGATTCCAGCAAGCGTGCGTGAGCGTGTTAGATAGGAGTTTAATGGAGACGAATGATACTTGGGACCGACGATCTGTTGGAGTGTGAGCAGGGTAATATTTAGTGAAGGGATTCAGGGAAACGGTTATTTTCATATAGTCGGACTTGAGTCCTGGGAAATGGGAAGTACAATGCCTGCATTTTAAAGGAGGGGTTTGGGATATTGGCAGTTTGGAGGGATATGTTGTGTATCTTTATGTGTATGCTTCTAAACTGTTGTATTCTGAGCACCTCTGCAAAAACAGTGATAATGTGCGAGTGTGGTGAAAGTGTTGAATGATGATGAAAGTATTTTCTTTTTGGGGATTTTCTTTCTTTTTTTGGGTCACCCTGCCTCGGTGGGAGACGGCCGACTTGTTGAAAAAAAAAAAAAAAAAAAAAGGCCTTCACATCATCTACCTACTGGTCTTATGAATGAATGATGTTAAAATTATCTAAGTATGCTATAATATAAAAATAAAAGATACAAAAATATAATCATCAGGATGGTTGGTTGAGGCCAGTTATTGTTGTATCAAGCAGGATGCCTACACACTGAAGATGCTCACTATAGAACAGCATAATAATGACAAGTGCAAGGGGCTAGAAACCCCTTCTCCTGTATATATTACTAAATGTAAAAGGAGAAACTTTAGTGTGTTGTAAGAGGTGACTAAAATGCCGGGAGCAAGGGGCTAGTAACCCCTTCTCCTGTATAAATTACTAAATTTAAAAAGAGAAACTTTTGTTTTTCATTTTGGGCCACCCCGCCTTGGTGGGATATGGCCGGTGTGTTGAAAGAAGAAGAAGAAGCTTATCTAATGTTTGTAATTAATTACAAATACTGGGTAGATGCAGTAATGAGAGCTTCCTCTAAATTTACACAAAGGGTAAAAAGATAAAAATACAAATAATACTGGATAGAAATTAAGGTAGATAGAAAAAAATTAAGAATGATCATACTCAAAATGGTCCAAGTCGGACCGAAACGTCGTCCTAAGCTTCTCTCTTCTATGTGCAGGTTATTTGTGTAAGAAATCTATAATTTTTTTTGTACATCTAATACAGAGGAAACACAAAGTCTATTGTGTTAAAGAAAGAGACAAAGTCTTAGAGAGATCATAATTAACTGTGTATTAATACTAACTTCCTGAACTACAGGAATTTTAGCTCTGCAAACTGGTAACTTCCTTTCTTTTACAAGTTGAAAACAGTAAGCAAGCAAATTAGAGAACACTTACGTGCACCAAGTCCCTTCTCCCAAGTTTCATCACGGATCAAGTTCCTAGCAAATTAATATTTCAAGTGATCAAATTTGTTACCTGTTGCTTCAATATGGAGATGGTTCCTTCCTCCTGCTCCATGGCGTCTGGATCAATGCTCAAATTCAGAGAAGGCCGAGTCTGTCGCAGGAGAGCCATATATGCATGGAAGATGTCAACTTTGACATTTTCTTCCCGCTCTGCATTCAAGGAACAAATGAAAGTTTAATTATTAACATATACAAGCATATATTATCTCTGTGTTGTTAACTTTCACAAAATAGTGTGACTTGTAAATGGTCCAAATTGGACCAAAACTTTGTTATAAGCTGGTTGATCAGGCTCTGATCCACCAGGAGGCCTGGTCACAGACCGGGCCGCGGGGGCGTTGACCCCCGGAACTCTCTCCAGGTAAACTTCTTTCTCCTATGTGCGGGTTATGTGTGTTTTGTCACAGTATTGTGCCTTTTTGTTCCTTACATTAAAATATTTACAAACTACCAGTGTATCAAGAATGAAAATATTCTGAGCAATTTCCCCCCCCCCAAAAAAAAAAAAAAAAAATTTCTTTACACTGTGATACAAACCTTTAAATCTGGTAATGAGCTGTGGAGATACTGTCTTGTAAAAATCCACAAGCATTTCATGTCTGGTTGAGATTACAGCTTCCAGGCATTTTGCTGATGATCGACGTACCTGGGTACACAGGAAAACTGACATCAGGGCTTTGCCTTAACAGTTCTGGCAATTTTTTCTCACAAAACCAAAAAATATTTTAATGACAGCTCTTCACTATTACAAAAGAAGCTAAGGTTTTATAAATGATTAAGTCCTAAGTAGAAGGTTGGTAGACAGCAACTGCCCAGGGAGGTACTACTGTTATGCTAAGTGAGTGTAAAATGGAAACCTGCAATTGTTTTACATGATGGTAGGATTGCTGGTATCGTTTTTCTGTCTTATAAATATGCAAGATTTCAGATACGTCTTGCTAATTCTATGTACACTTAGGTCACACTGCACATGCATAGACAAGCATATATAGTTTTTTTTTTTTTTCAACAAGTCAGCAGGCTCCCACACATCCCTCTGGGTTTTCTATTTCCTTACTAGTTCTTGTTCTTGTTTATTTCCTCTTATCCCCATGGGAAAGTGAAACAGAAGTCTTCCTCCGTAAGCCATACGTGTCGTGAGAGGTGACTAACATGTCGGGAGCAAGGGGCTGGTAACCCCTTCTCCTGTATAAATTACTAAAATTAAAAAGAAAATCTATAAAAAAATTTTTTTTGAGGGTCACTCTGCTTTGGTGGGACATAGTCGGTATGTTAAAAAAAAAAAATCTATAAGAGTAAACCACACTAAAACAAAATAAAAAATCACCTACCTTCCAAGACATGTCATCATCATCTGAATATTCATCATCCTCTTCACCATCATCATCTTCATCCATGTCCATCTGGCCCTCATCATCTTCATAATCGTCATAATTATAATTGGGGTCGTGTGTTATGTACTTTAGACAAAGCGCTACAATCTGAAATTGCCAAATCAAAACAGTCAAACCACTCTATCAATAGCTGTCAACATGCATGTTATGGTTTTGTAGTAGTACTCAGTGAAATGTTTTTGAGTACTAGTAAAAGTTACACGTACTTATTATCATCAAAAATAAGTGCTAAACCTACAAGGGTCATACAGCACTGCTACATGTACTTAGATAACTGAAATATAACATGGTGTCAACTTTGAGAGATTTAAGAATAACCATTTCTAGTCACAAATATATCAAAGTCATTGGGAATAAAAGCCACATTGTCATAACTGGAATAATTCACAACTAAGTGATAATTAACAAATGAAACTTAAGACAATGTTTCAGTCCTGGACCATTAAGTAAACACGACTTTATAATGGTCCAGGACACACATGAAACTCTCTCTCAAATTACCTCTCCAAATTGTGGGTTATTTTTGAAAAGCCAACAGAAAAAAAAAAAAGCCTCATCATTTGTAATCTATAATGGTAACTCGAGCTGCAATGATGTATTTGCTATACCGAGTTTCTTCATTCCAGGATATTCTTTTTCCAGTCACCAGTTTTGGAGAGTAACTCAACAATTTCTTACCAATTTACACCAGTAGAATCTAAAATTCACGTAACAATAAAAACACCTTAAATAGTAACATATTGTCAAAGTAAGCTTACTTAGTTACATTTTCAGCATTGCTTTCCCAAGTGACTATTTTTTACCCATTGACCGCGTTTCTTCTTACATTCCTTCATCTTAACAGGTAGTGATACACAAAACAAATAACCCACACATAGGAGAAAGAAACTAATGACAATGGTTTGGTATGTGACTAGTTAATGGTCCAAGTCAGACTGAAACGTCACCATAAATTACTTTCTCCTGTGTATTGTTCCAGTCACTGCATTGTGCCTTTCCGTTCTTTCTACATGGTGATAATGACTTAATTATATTTATGGTCAAATTTTAACACTCATAGTTTCTATCAGCATTCCTGCCTGTATGACTAATATTCAAGGGACTACTAATCCTTTCTCCTGTATGAATTACTAAATAAAAAAAAAAATTCAATGGCCAGTGTGTTAATACAGGTCTCCCTCAACATTCGCGAGGGTTAGGGGATCAAGAGCCTCGCAAATGTTGAAAACCCGTGAATGTTTGGTGCCCCAATATATTGTAGGGAAATATATTACAATACTGCCTCCTTAACTTGTTGAACCATGAACAATCATAAAGTACATGAAAACGTCGTAAATTGTACTAAATACATACATGTTATGCTTTAATAACGTATGTTATTTAATAACATGTATGTTAATAACATGTATGTTAGTCGACTGGTGTGGGTCGCATCCTGGGGGACAAGATTAAGGACCCCAATGGAAATAAGTTAGACAGTCCTCGATGACGCACTGACTTTCTTGGGTTATCCTGGGCGGCTAACCCTCCGGGGTTAAAAATCCGAACGAAATCTTATCTTATCTTGACTCCACCACTGCCTCCACCACTGCGAGTCCCTACTACCCTCCCTCCGACCCCCCACAACTGGCAGCCAGCCCTCCCACCACTCAGTGTGGTGAGTGTTTTGTTTGTTCATTATTTGCTATTAAACTACAGTATAAATAATGTAAACCCATTCATGACTGCATATTGGAATGGCTATTTGGACAGGTATTAGACGGTGACATCATGTGTTTACTCTTGAACACAGCAAAGAATCGAACATTTCTGCTATTGCTAATAATAACAATAGTAATAATAATAATAATAATAATAATAATAATAATAATAATAATAATAATGATAATAATAATAATAATAATAATAATAATAATAATAAATACGATATTGAAGAAGGAAATTGTACAAAAATACGAGGGAGTGGTTGACACATCGTCAGTGTGACTTTGTTTATGCTGGAGTGAACATTAGTCTCCCTGCTCTTCCAAACATTTCACAATAACTCAGCGGTTGAGGCAGTGGTATTTAATAACATATATGTTATAAATAATAATAGTACATGTTATTATTAATAACATGTATTATTATTAACATGTATGTATTGAATAACATATGTTATAAATAATAATAGTACATATTATTAATAACATGTATTATTATTAACATGTATGTTATTAAATATCATTGCCTCAATCACCGCCTCTACCACTCCAGTCGCACTCAATCTACAAGCACCAAACAAAATGAATTATTGTGAAATGTTTGGAAGAGCAGGGAGACTGTTCACTCCAGCATAAACAAAGTCACACTGATGATGTGTCAACCACTCCCTCGTATTTTTGTACAATTTCCTTCTTCAATTATATCATATTTATTATTATTATTACTATTTTATTATTAGCTGTAGCAGAAATGTTTAATTCTTTGCTGTGTTCAAGAGTAAACACATGATGTCACCGTCTAATACCTGTCCAAATAGCCATTCCAATATGCAGTCATGAATGGGTTGACATTATTTATACTGTAGTTTAATAGCAAATAATGAACAAACAAAACACTCGCCACACTGAGTGGTGGGAGGGCTGGCTGCCAGTTGTGGGGGTCGGAGGGAGGGTAGTAGGGACTCGCAGGTGGCGGGAAACTTAAATATGATTTGGCGGCTGGGAATTTGGTGGCTGGGAATTTGGCGGTTGGGAATTCGCGAATGTGTGAAGCCCGTGAAAGTTGAAAACGTGAATGTTGAGGGAGACCTGTATAAATACTTAAGCAGTATAATGTGATCCTTTATTGGCAACGTTTCGGCGAAACGTTGCTGTGTGTCATAAGAGGCAGTGTAATACGAGGCAACTAAAATGCCAGGAGCAAAAGGCTAGTAACCGCTTCTCCTGTATTACTTACTATAAGTAAAAAGAACAGATTGTTACTTCTTTTTTGGGTCACCTTGCCTTGGTTGGAGATAGCCAATGTGTTAAAAAAATAGATACATTATCTATATCATTAATATGCTGTTTCCCCTTCTCCAGAATTATTCCACAGGGGAGTAGCCACGACAGGTATCCATGTAGCATTGTTAACTAATGTTTTATTTTACAATCCTCCCCAACCTGATGAAAAAATATTGACCAATATTTGTTTTGCTAATTCCTTTAATACTTGAAGAGTAAATACAAGTCCTATAACGAGATGTAAAAAATTTTGCATTAAAAACCCTACCCTCCTGCAATAGGTTAAGATTATGTCAGTACAGTGGACCCCCGGTTTACGATATTATTTCATTCCAGAAGTATGTTCAGGTGCCAGCACTGAACGAATTTGTTCCCATAAGGAATATTGTGAATTAGATTAGTCCATTTCAGACCCCCAAACATACACATACAAACGCACTTACATAAATACACTTACATAATTGGTCGCATTGGGAGGTGATCGTAAAGCGGGGGTCCACTGTATTTCTGAAGCAAAGTCACTGCTGCTTTTCATCATGGAGGACGTAAGCAGAATAACAAACACGTAACCAACTGATATGTAAACTGACAAATTAGTTGACTTGCTGTGTTCCACTTTTACAACACTGCCATTTTAGGACCAATTACTTACATGTGATAAAACCTGATGGTGGGACTAGTGTACAGTACTTACAAATTATATTTACACTTCAGCTAGTAGTTCACTTATAAATATAATTATTCTTGGCAAGCTTTTTCACTAAATGCATTCATATTTTATGCACGTTCTTTTTGTGCGTAAAAAGAACTTCCATGTGTTTTTATTTTATTTTACCAAATGCACTCTTTACTTTGTGTACATTCATTCAGAGTACAAAACAGACTTGCTATGAATTTCCAAGAATGCATTAACATCCTAAATTGTGGCCCCAGTGCATATACAATAGGACCCCTGTATCCATGGGGGATACGTTCCAAGAACCTGCTGCAGCTAGTGGTGAACCTTACATGTAAATTGCTTTTCCGTTAAATACATACCTTCGATGAAGTTCAATTGATAAATTATGCACAATAAGTGGAGAATTAGACTTTTTCATGGCATCTTTTAGGCTTTACAGAACTGCCATCACTACTTTTGCACTTTCAGGCCATTATTAAGCAAAATTAAGGGTTATTTTTCTGGCCACGGTAAACTGCAGATAACTGAAACCATGGAAACTGGACCCAGAGATTCAGGGGTCCTACTGTACAATGGCCAAGATATATAAATGACCGAACTGCTGCAAGGTCACATACATACCGTGGGTAAATGGTGGGTGATCTCTTTTGGGCAGCGAAGTGTAAAGGCTTCGCAGGCAGAGATGCAGTACTCTCGTAACTCGTCGTCATCCACTGCCACGTATTGAGTAATGAGTGGCATTACCCGCTCTAAGTATTCCCCAAACCGGTGACCCGCCTGACGACTGCAACCAGAGTAAAACTATTATTGTACCCGCTCTAATTATTCCCCAAACCAGCGACCTGCCTGACAACAGCAACCAGAGTAAAACTATTATTGTACCCGCTCTAATTATTCCCCAAACCGGTCCCCCGCCTGACGACTGCAACCAGAGTAAAAATATTACTGAACATATTAATTGGGCATTAGTAGAGGACACATTTTTCACAAACATTCTCTTACATAAAAAAGAACATATTCTTTGTCTGAAGGGAGAATTACTTAGAAACCTTGGAAGGCATTCCGGAGGTTTTCAAACATTGAAGATTTTTCAAAAACAACTTAAACATTTAATAAGGAAACCAGCATTTTTGTTTAGCAATTGTGTAACAGAAGTTATTGCCACTTACATCATTAAGAGAATCATAAATGTATAATAGAAACACAACTTCCTTCAAGCAGTATTTACAAATTTGCTTTTATGTAATCCCCAAGCTGTTTTAAGTTAAACATACAATACAAACCTTCAAACATTTCAAAACATGGCAAAATCTAGCTATGGAATCTTTGGCAAATACAGTGTCTGATCTTTTTCACATCTACAGTATATAGAAATGTAAAGGCTTTATAAAAACAATTTGATAAAAGCACTAACAAGTAAAACACCACCTTAAAGGACCTGGTTCAATCACAGCTGGTGGAGGTTATGAGGCAAGACACATATGAAATATATCTTGAATAAAATTAAACCAAAATATTAAAATACTACAGTAGTGAAAACTGCTTACCTAATAGCTGCAATACACTGGATATACGTTCTTGTGGTAGACATAGATGTGTTCTTAGCTAGTTCATCAATCAAAAAGTCCATGAGTCTTGCATATATCTGTGGTGAGCACGACACCACTAAATGACTGAGAGCTACTATTGTACGCTTTCTGACGGCGAGCCGTGGAGATGCCAACTGGGGCAACAGCGCATCTAATATATTGGGATGGAAGGAAATGAGGAGAGATCCAAATCGAGCTAATAAATCACCCAGGATGTCCAGGGCCTCCAGCTGCACACTAACATCTTCTTGCTGAGGAAGATATAGAAACATCACACATTGTACATGTATGGTACACAATGCCTAAGCAAACACTATAACATATTTATTAGAAAACGTTTCGGTCCTGGGACCTTGATCACTTCTGATCAAGTGATCAAGGTCCCAGGACCGAAACGTTTTCTAATAAATATGTTACAGTGTTTGCTTACGTGTCTTTCTAAACCAACTTGTCGGTATTTATTACCAAGGTTTATACCATGGTACACAATACCAAAAAGATGAAGAATTAGACACATGAAACATCTGGGTATCTTCATAGTAGATGTTTTGCCATCCAGTGGCTTTATTAATACAAATCAAAGGACATAATGGGAAGACAGTACTGTCTTCCCATTACATCCTTGAATTTGTATTGATAAAGCCAATGGATAGCAAAATGTCTACAAGATAGATACCCAGATGTTGCACATGTGTCTAATTCTTCACATACGTTATCATCAACTGGAGCATAACACGTGTTTATAAACATGAAAATAAATTTCCAAATTATTATAATAAAGTACAGGATTAATTTGACTACAGACTGAAAGATATGTTCTCAAGTTAAGAAGCTAAGATTTCCTTATGACAGTGGTCGTCTCCTACCGAGGAAGGGTGACCCGAATAAGAAACACCTTCACCATCATTCAATCCATCACTGTCTTGCCTGAGGCATGCCAATACTACAGTTCAGATGGTCCTCCAAATTGTAACTATCCCCACTCAGGTTTACAAACAGGAAAGTAGACTATATTTCTAAGTTTACTATGAATTGATGTAAAAGTATGTACAAACTGGAAGGTATATTTTTCAGTTAAATTTGCAAGTTTACTATATTTCCAAGTTTACTATGAAGTTTAATATATTTTATAGACTAAAAGATATGCTATAGTTATTAATTTAATTACTTGTTCAAAATAAAAGACTGACTTTTAAACTGCAGTACAGATCTTACAAATAAAATATGTTGCAACAGTAAATTACAATTCTTGCATAAAAACTGCATGCACTGCCAAATTTTATGATATATTTGCAACATAAGATGATAATATCTCTTCTACCTTTAAGTCTAGAACTTCAGGTTGAGTTGAAAAATAACTAAGTATGTAAAAGACTAGGTGTATTATGAAGGTGGGGATTATGCTAAATCTGTATTGGACATTTAGTACCTAAGGAATGTGAGACAATCAGACTTCATCTAAGGAAGGGGAGGAGAGGTCCAGTTCTTTGGATCAAGAGCCCCTCATTAAGAAGACATTTTCTGAAGGGCACACTGGGTGTAAAGAACTCTATATGAGTTGTCACAAACACACCATTAATTATCATATATACTGCAGTTAATATAAAATCTAACAAACTAAATTATTGTAGTATATTCAAACTAGGAAAATGCCACTTTTATGATACAGAGAAACCAGCAAGTTGAATGTAAGTAATGTGTTGTATAATAATTTGACTCAGGATAAACCAAGCTTGAAATAATGTTCAGGGTATACAACATCAGTTGAGGACTGAAGTACAGTGGACCTCCGCCTTACGATCAGCTTCCAATTTGACCAATTGTGTAAGTGTATTTTTGTAATTGCTTTGTACATGTATTTTTGGGGGTCTGAAACGGACTAATCTAATTCACAATATTTCTTATGGGAGCAAATTTGGTCTATAACAGCACCCGAACAGACCTCTGGAATGAAATAATATCGTAAGGCGGGGGTCCACTGTATCAAGACATGAAGGTCACGTAATGTAAGGATACAAATTACAGTACGTATTTTGCGGCGTATAAGACTTGCTTTAGTTTCAATGGCTCGACATCATACATAACTGGGAGAGCTACAACCCACCCCACACCCCAAACTATAGCTCCCGTCACTGACTTTCAGTTTATAGGACGCAGGGTGGTTTTTGGAGACATTTTATGGAAATATGCATCTAATAGGCAGCAAAATACGGTAATTCCCAAAAGAATCTGAACACTACACCTCTAATGACTGAGCAGTAGGTGTACTGGTATAAAATTCTTGTAAATATCCAGTTCATGAAACTAACCCTAACAATAGCTTCTGACAGTCTATCAGTGACTCTCTTGCAGATGTTGGCCACCAGTGCCGTCGATGATGCTGGTAGTTCATTGATGACTGTCTTCAAAGCAAGGGAGGACATGTCTCTCAGCTGTTCCCGGTCGCTCACCATGTGGTCGCACAGTGACTCCACGATTGAGTACACGTGGAATTCTTTCACTTTGTTGACCAAAGGACCCAGACTGCAAATTACAAAAATAAAAGGAACACGTATATTGCATAATTTTTTATTATTTTTATTATTAACACATCGGCCATTTCCCACCAAGGCAGGGTGGCCCAAAAAAGAAAAACTTTCATCATCATTCACTTCATCACTGTCTTGCCAGAGGTATGCTTACACTACAGTTATAAAACTGCAACATTAACACCCGTCCTGCATAATTTTTATACACATTAATTACTGAAAAACTTAGTATTGTGGTAATATTACTAATTACTAGCAACTTTCACTATTTCCTACACCAAAAGTTGTGAAATCACATCTAGCATGGTCAAGTTGCATATTCAACAGCACAAGGATAAAATTAATATTTATGACTGAACCTGCTGACAGACCTGGTGTTGCTCCCACATACCAAAAGAGACCAGAGGATACAGATAGCTTCTTCATTTAATTGAACATTTATGAAGTTTTTAATTCATGCTAAGCACTAAACCCAAGTGGGTTATTCAGTGCAAGACATGGTGGAGGCTTTATCCTCCACCTGCCGAGTGCCAGACAGACATGTGTCCTATTTGTACGCACCTATATTCCTGGATATATGTGAGTACAAATAGATTTTTACACCAAGGTATTAAAGCATGGTTGTACAGTGGACCCCTGCTTAACGATCAGCTCCCAATGCGACCAATTATGTAAGTGTATTTATGTAAGTGCGTTTGTATGTGTATGTTTGGGGGTCTGAAATGGACTAATCTACTTCACAATATTCCTTATGGGAACAAATTCAGTCAGTACTGGCACCTGAACATACTTCTGGAATGAAAAAATATCGTTAACCGGGGGTCCACTGTACTTGATAAACTACCTTTAACAAAAATAAACAAGGCTTCTTAAGCAAGAATCTTATTAAAAATTATATTTCATACTGCTAGGTCAGTATGATGACCACTCTGTCATCCATTAGCAATAACTAAATTAGATACTGTACTTAAATTTGTATTCTAGCTTCTACAGCATCAAAAATTTTGGATATTAATAAGCACTCTATTTGGGAAAACTATCAGGGGGTAGCAGGTGGCCAGTAATGATGATTGTAGTGGAGAGGAAATTTTGTTGCTGATTTAAACAAAAACGGCAATTCTGTAACCAACAGACTTAGTCCGTTGTTTCCAAAGAACTGACCCAGAGGATTTTGTCCCGTATTTCCAAAGTCCCTTAAATTTAGGGTTTAATATCTGTTCAGAGCATGTAACATTAACAAAAGTGGTACTGTATAAACCTTGGTAACTGATATCAACATATGGTTGATATCAGTTATATCAGAAAATAACTTGGTTCCGAGACTCGGACTAAGGTTTTCTAATAAAAATGGCAATGTTTGCTCATGTGTCTTTTTAAACCATCAATAAAATTATAAATTTACTAAATGAAATGGCAAATTATAAAAAATAAAAGGCATAAGAATGCTCAATACCATTACATGTTAATTTAAGACTGTTCAGAACATTAAGCTTGCTTAAATAATTCACTCTCATTCAACAGTCATCGGTCTTGACTTTTAACAGAACTTTGTACAGTGGTATCTCGAGTTACGAGCTTAATTTGTTCCAGAAGGCTGTTCGAGTGATGATACTGAACGAATTGTTCCCATAAGGAATAATGTACATTAGATTAATCTGTTTCAGACCCCCAAAAATACACTTACAAAGGCACTTACACATATACACTTACATAATTGTTCGAGTTGAGAGCTGCTCGTATCTCAAGGTACCAATGTATATGACTAAGTGGCAAGAAGTACTCTGTGTGTGTGTGTGGGGGGAAGGGGGGTTTGAGGAAGGGATAAGAACACCTCAACAATGCTTACCACTTGACAGCGAGGTTCTGTACTTCTCCATTCTTATCCTCCAGTAGTCGAAGAAGCATTCTTACAACTTTGCGCTCCGACTCGTCATCCAGCTTGATTGAGTCTTTCTGCAGTTCTGTCATCAAATCATTTGTGGCCATAAAGCGGTAATCTTTGTCCGTACTTGTCATCTGTAAGTAAATATCTGCATATAACATATCATACCAAAGAAAAAATATGAGTCCAGTATACTACCAGATGCATTATTGTGGAACTTAATTAAGGCACTAACACTGGCAGCTACCCAGCATTATTATCAAAAGAATATAGCCATATGCACAGTGAATACAGTGGACCCCCGCTTTACGATCACCTCTCAATGCGACCAATTATGTAAGTGTATTTATGTAAGTGCGTTTGTACGTGTATGTTTGGGGGTCTGAAATGGACTAATCTAATTCACAATATTCCTTATGGGAACAAATTCGTTCAGTAATGGCACCTGAACATACTTCTAGAATGAAATAATGTTGTAAACCGGGGGTTCACTGTATTTAATACTTATGAATCCTGTTAAAAAGATGATAATTGATGTTAAGTGACTCAATGAGTATAATTTATCCTCAAAGTGTAACAAACTGATTATAAATGTAGCCTAAGGTGGGTGTTATATTGGGAGTCAAACCTTTACATCAACTGACAGACGAACAGACAATACGTAGTATAGAGTATACTGGTAAGCACTTGAGTTTATACATTATGAGACGGCACTGCTCAGCCCAAGGTTGTTGGAGTAAAGAGGGGGCAGACAAGTGCTGAAAAAAGTACAGCAAGAAAAGCCTTTTACTGTATTAAATACTGTAGGACATTTCCCCTACAAGAAGCTTTATCAAGAATAAGGCTTCTTGCAGGTGAAACATCGTATTTAATAAAGGGTCTGCTTGATAAGATAAGATAAGATTTCGTTCGGATTTTTAACCCCGGAGGGTTAGCCACCCAGGATAACCCAAGAAAGTCAGTGCGTCATCGAGGACTGTCTAACTTATTTCCATTGGGGTCCTTAATCTTGTCCCCCAGGATGCGACCCACACCAGTCAACTAACACCCAGGTACCTATTTGCTGCTAGGTGAACAGGACAACAGGTGTAAGGAAACGTGTCGAATGTTTCCACCCGCCGGGAATCGAACCCGGACCCTCCGTGTGTGAAGCGGGAGCTTTAGCCACCAGGTACTGCCAGTGACACTCTTTCCCAGGCCCCCAAAAAAGTGCTGGCATGTATCAAATTTTTTATAGGCTTTCACATCCTGTCTAGCATAAGGAGAGATTATTCACAAAGAAATGACATAAAGCAGGAGATTATGACAGAGTACAAGTTCAAGTGAAGTGACATTCAATGTGACTTACCAGAGTAAATCAGCCGACTTCAGTCACATGATAGCAAAACCTCAAGAGAAAGTATTGTCATCTTTGAAAGTGTTGGATATTAATATCAAGTTTATTTTCTATTTTCAACTTGTGTATTGTTTATTTTCACATTTATTTAGTTGGTTGTACTACTAAACAGTATTTAGATCTTTAAATTATTGAGCGAGTTTGTAGTTTAAAAAGTTTATCATTGTTTAAGACAGTAGTGACAGGAGTGGTGAAAGTTGAACCAGACAATACAGATGAACTGTCACTGCGGAGACGAACCTGACAATGCACATTTGGCCTGAAGCTTATTCTTTATTGTTATTCTTATTATTAACAGAGTTAATAACCCAGGATAACTAAGAAAGTCAAGCAGTGTGGCTTATTTCTGTTTGTGTCCCAGGATGCCACCCACAGCAGTCAGTTAACATCAAGGTTCCTACTTACTGCTAGGTCTCCTGAAAATACTACCAGTGAGCCACAACCCACCAATGTCAAAACACAAACACTTGCAGGTGCCAGTAAGCAAATAAGTTTATTTAGGTTCAGGAAGACATACGTACAATCATCATACATACTGTAAATTACCTACCAGAATAACCCAAAAGAGTCAAAGTGACTTGATTTCCATTTTGGTCCATTTTCATCACAGTGCTATTAATACCAGCACAAGCAACAGAACTCCTATTGCTAAGGCAATAATTCTGAGTGAAAATTGTCAATTATGGTATAAACCTTGGTAATAAATACCGACAAGTTGGTTTAGAAAGACACATGGAAGACGATTTGGTCCTGGGACCGAAATGTTTTCTACTAAATATGCCACTAAATATACCTTGTACATGTACAAGGTATACCAGTACATGTACAAGGTATGCCAGTACATGTACAAGGTATGCCAGTACATGTACAAGGTATGCCAGTACATGTACAAGGTATGCAAGTACATGAACAAGGTATACAAGTACATGTACAAGGTATACCACTACATGTACAAGGTATACAAGTACATGTACAAGGTATACCACTACATGTACAAGGTATACAAGTACATGTACAAGGTATACCACTACATGTACAAGGTATGCAAGTACATGAACAAGGTATACCAGTACATGAACAAGGTATACCACTACATGTACAAGGTATGCAAGTACATGAACAAGGTATACCAGTACATATACAAGGTATACCACTACATGTACAAGGTATACAAGTACATGTACAAGGTATACCAATACATGTACAAGGTATACCACTACATGTACAAGGTATACAAGTACTTGTACAAGGTATACCACTACATGTACAAGGTATACAAGTACTTGTACAAGGTATACAAGTACATGTACAAGGTATACATGTACAAGGTATACAAGTACATGTACAAGGTATACAAGTACATGTACAAGGTATACAAGTACATGTACAAGGTATACAAACCATAGCTGACATCAGTGACATACTACTATATAAAAAGTTCCTTGTTATGCTGAGCATTTCCCGCAAATTATGTCAGTTTTGTCCCAGGATGTGACCCACACCAGTCCACTAACACCCAGGATGTGACCCACATCAGTCCACTAACACCAAGGATGCCACCCACACCAGTCCACTAACACCCAGGATGTGACTCACACCAGTCCACTAACACCCAGGCCGTGTCCCACACCAGTCCACTAACACCCAGGATGTGACCCACACCAGTCCACTAACACCCAGGATGCCACCCACACCAGTCCACTAACACACAGGATGCCACCGACACCAGTCCAATAACACCCAGGATGCCACCCACACCAGTCCACTAACACCCAGGATGTGCCCCACACCAGTCCACTAACACCCAGGATGCCACACACACCAGTCCACTAGCACCCAAGATGTGACCCACACCAGTCCACTAACACCCAGGATGCCACCCACACCAGTCCACTAACACCCACGATGTGACCCACACCAGTCCACTAACACCCAGGATGTGACCCACACCAGTCCACTAACACCCAGGATGCCACCCACACCAGTCCACTAACACCCAGGATGCCACCCACACCAGTCCACTAACACCCAGGATGTGACCCACACCAGTCCACTAACATCCAGGATGTGACCCACACCAGTCCACTAACACCCAGGATGTGACCCACACCAGTCCACTAACACCCAGGATGCCACCCACACCAGTCCACTAACACCCAGGATGCCACCCACACCAGTCCACTAACACCCAGGATGTGACCCACACCAGTCCACTAACACCCAGGATGTGACCCACACCAGTCCACTAACACCCAGGATGCCACGCACACCAGTCCACTAGCACCCAGGATGTGACCCACACCAGACCACTAACACCCAGGATGCCACCCACACCAGTCCACTAACACCCAGGATGCCACCCACACCAGTCCACTAACACCCAGGATGTGACCCACACCAGTCCACTAACACCCAGGATGTGACCCACACAAGTCCACGAACACCCAGGATGCGACCCACACCAGTCCACTAACACCAGGATGCCACCCACACCAGTCCACTAACACCCAGGATGTGACCCACACCAGTCCACTAACACCCAGGATGTGACCCACACCAGTCCACTAACACCAGGATGCCACCCACAGCAGTCCACTAACACCCAGGATGCCACCCACACCAGTCCACTAACACCCAGGATGTGACCCACACCAGTCCACTAATACCCAGGATGTGACCCACACAAGTCCACTAACACCCAGGATGTGACCCACACGAGCCCACTAACACCCAGGATGTGACCCACACCAGTCCACTAACACCCAGGATGTGACCCACACCAGTCCACTAACACCCAGGATGTGACACACACCAGTCCACTAACACCAGGATGCCACCCACACCAGTCCACTAACACCCAGGATGTGACCCACACCAGTCCACTAACACCCAGGATGTGACCCACACCAGTCCAATAACACCAGGATGCCACCCACACCAGTCCACTAACACCCAGGATGTGACCCACACCAGTCCACTAACACCCAGGATGTGACCCACACCAGTCCACTAACACCAGGATGTGACCCACACCAGTCCACTAACACCAGGATGTGACCCACACCAGTCCACTAACACCCAGGATGCCACCCACACCAGTCCACTAACACCCAGGTAACTATTTTACTAATGGGTGAACATAGACAGCAGGTGTGTTAAGGAAACACGTCCCGAATGTTTTCCAGCCGTACCGGAGGAGATTCTAACCCCAGTGTGCGGAGTGAGTGCGCTACCGATCCACCTATGAATTTTTAACTCACAGTCCCCTCAGGGAAGGTTCCTTGATGTTGGTGAGGGGCTCTTGATTTAGGGAATTGGATCTGTTCTCCAGTTCCCCGAATTAAGTCTGAATGCCTTCCACATCCCCCCCCCCAGGCGCTGTATAATCCTACGGGTTTAGCGCTTCCCCCTTGATTATAATAATAATTTAACCCACAGATGGTAAGATAAGATAAGATAAGATAAGATTTCGTTCGGATTTTTAACCCCGGAGGGTTAGCCACCCAGGATAACCCAAGAAAGTCAGTGCGTCATCGAGGACTGTCTAACTTATTTCCATTGGGGTCCTTAATCTTGTCCCCCAGGATGCGACCCACACCAGTCGACTAACACCCAGGTACCTATTTGCTGCTAGGTGAACAGGACAACAGGTGTAAGGAAACGTGTCGAAATGTTTCCACCCGCCGGGAATCGAACCCGGGCCCTCCGTGTATGAAGCGGGAGCTTTAGCCACCAGGCCACCGGGCCAGAATTAAGAATTAAGTCTGCCCGAAATACCCAGGTACGCTAGTGGCTTTTTTTGTAATTAATATGTTAGAGTTTGTATTATTATTATTATTATAATCAAGGGGGAAGCGCTAAACCCGGAGGATTATACAGCTCCTGGGGGGGGGGTGGAAGGTATTCAGGCTTAATTCGGGGAACTGGAGCACAGATCCAATTACCTGGATCAAGAGCCCCTCACCAACATCAAGGAACCTTCCTTGATGGGTTGAGGGACCTAGATCAAGAGCCCCTCACCAACATCAAGGAACCTTCCTTGATGGGTTGAGGGACCTAGATCAAGAGCCCCTCACCAACATCAAGGAACCTTCCTTGATGGGTTGAGGGACCTAGATCAAGAGCCCCTCACCAACATCAAGGAACCTTCCTTGAGGGGTTATAATTAATATCTTATAATTTGTAAATATAACATCGTAAGCTTCGCGAGGAAATAAATATGTTCGTGTTCGTTATTTAGGTACAGGTTCGCGGAAGTACTCTTGTTATATGTAAATTACCCACCAGGGTGACCCCCCAAAAAAAAAATTAGTGATTTATTATAATTATTGTAGTTGTGATCTTGTGTGGGGTTGGAGGGGGTTAATTCCTTGGATCAAGAACCTCCCTCACTGGCATCACAGCGCCCCCCCTTGAGGGGCCATTAACCACAAATTACTAGTTAAATACACTTAGTTATTATTACATTCATGGGTAAGCGGTAAACCCACAGGGGTAAGTGAGCTAGAAGTGGGCAAGATAATCTATCAATCTGACCCCCGAGCTCCACCACACACTACTTCCTCATCTACATAATATCCACCACAAATACTGAAGTAAAACAGTAACTATGATAATTAAATGGATAAATTAGAGCCATGATGTTAACACAATAAATAATAACATTGGTAGTGGCTGCCTCCTGGGCTCCATTACTGCTTATTTCTCCCTCCCACGTAAGTAACTCCTACCCAACTCTTCATGCCACGCTGCCCAAGCTCACCTTCTCCAGAAGATTGGCGATGTGGTAGGAAACACTCGCCATTTTGGTGGTTTATTTAGTAAAATAAGAGCGAAGTGATCCAGCCACTGTCCAACCTCCTCCTCGATGCCGATGACATGCATTTCTTAACAATATTCATAATAATTACATACATGTGGCTTATTACTACCAATTTAACTTTCTTAATTACTTAGGCCATCAATAGTGTTAATTACAATTAGTTTAATTCATTAGTTAGTAGTTATTCGCCAGTTTTAATATTTTTGTAAGTGTATTTCTTAATTCATCACAACCACAAAACAGAGGCTTCTGATTGGTCCGCCGCACTGGCGCTAATTTTGAAAAATTTGGAAAAAAAAAATTTCAATTAATGAGGAAGTGCTAAACCTGGAGGGGTGGGGGCTAAACTAATTTGATACGAGGACGGAACTATTCTCTCCAGTTCCTTGGATTAAGCCCTAACTAATGTAACAATGTAAATAAGTCACTTGGTCTGACTTTCTTTAGGGTTATTCTGGTTGGTAATTTACACACAAGTTACCATGAATGATAATTGTACTTATGTGTACCTGTAAACTTACTAACGTATTTACATGATAGTTAATGTCAATTGTATGCTGTAAGTTTATTTATGTACAAGTACACATAAATATAGTTACCATACATATTGTAAATTACCCACCTGCATAAACACAAAAAGTCAAAGTGACTTATTACCATTGTGGTCCTTGTATTTCCATTGTGGTCCTTGTATTTCCATTGTGGTCCTTGTATTTCCATTGTGGTCCTTGTATTTCCATTGTGGTTCTTGGATTATTTCCACTGTGGTCCTTGTATTTCCACTGGAGTCCTTGGAATATTTCCACTGTGGTCCTTGTATTATTTCCACTGTGGTCCTTGTATTATTTCCACTGTGGTCCTTGTATTTCCACTGGAGTCCTTGGATTATTTCCACTGTGGTCCTTGTATTTCCACTGGAGTCCTTGGATTATTTCCACTGTGGTCCTTGTATTTCCACTGAAGTCCTTGGATTATTTCCACTGTGGTCCTTGTATTTCCACTGGAGTCCTTGGATTATTTCCACTGTGGTCCTTGTATTTCCACTGGAGTCCTTGGATTATTTCCACTGTGGTCCTTGTATTATTTCCACTGTGGTCCTTGTATTTCCACTGAAGTCCTTGGATTATTTCCACTGTGGTCCTTGTATTTCCACTGGAGTCCTTGGATTATTTCCACTGTGGTCCTTGTATTATTTCCACTGTGGTCCTTGTATTTCCACTGAAGTCCTTGGATTATTTCCACTGTGGTCCTTGTATTTCCACTGGAGTCCTTGGATTATTTCCACTGTGGTCCTTGTATTATTTCCACTGTGGTCCTTGTATTTCCACTGAAGTCCTTGGATTATTTCCACTGTGGTCCTTGTATTTCCACTGGAGTCCTTGGATTATTTCCACTGTGGTCCTTGTATTTCCACTGGAGTCCTTGGATTATTTCCACTGTGGTCCTTGTATTTCCACTGGAGTCCTTGGATTATTTCCATTGTGGTAAAGGACCCCAATGGAAATAAGTCACTTTGACTGACTTTTTTGGGTTATTTCAGGTTCTCTACACACATGCTGCTATGTATGATAATTCTATATAACTGTATTTGTGTATACCTGAATAAACTTACTTACTTACTGGTCCTTGTATTTCCATTGGGGTCTATGATGTGTTCAAGACTGCTGTTTGAACATTTCGTCCTTGATCACGTGGTTAACACACATCACGTTTAGCACTAAACCCGAAAGTGTCAGTCTTATACAGTACATTTTTTCCCGTCGACCTAGTATCTGCAATTAGTAATTACTTATTTGCAATTAGTAGTTACCTATGCAATGAGCAATTGCCTGTCAGTAATTACCTATCAGTAGTTAGTACTTACTTATCACTAATTAGTGACTATCAGTAATCAGTAACTATCTGCAGTTAATTACCAATCTGTAATTAGTCATTACCTATTTAAGAAGGAATCAAGTCCCAGGTCTTGTATTGTAACTCTCAGTTGAATGATATGTCAAGTCACACTAACTTATTTTCATAAGTCATACAGTGCCTGATAATGTAATCAGGGTTGATTTAAGGAAGAGGAAATTGGTTACAATTCCTTGGATCAAGAACCCCTCATGGCCTGTTAATGTAATCAGGGTTGATTTAAGGAAGAGGAAATTGGTTACAATTCCTTGGATCAAGAACCCCTCATGGCCTGATAATGTAATCAGGGTTGATTTAAGGAAGAGGAAATTGGTTACAATTCCTTGGATCAAGAACCCCTCATGGCCTGATAATGTAATCAGGGTTGATTTAAGGAAGAGGAAATTGGTTACAATTCCTTGGATCAAGAACTCCTCATGGCCTGATAATGTAATCAGGGTTGATTTAAGGAAGAGGAAATTGGTTACAATTCCTTGGATCAAGAACCCCTAAGAAAAGCTTTTGACACAGTAAACCACGAAATCCTACTCCACAAACTTGACCACTACGGTATAAGAGGCCATGCGCTTGCTTATTTCAAATCTTACATTACTAATAGGTATCAGTACGTCACCATTAAAGACACAGCATCAACAACACGGCCACTTGATACTGGAGTTCCGCAGGGAAGTGTCCTTGGTCCCCTGCTCTTCCTCATATACATCAATGACCTACCAAACGTATCCCAACACCTAAAACCCATTCTCTTTGCTGATGACACGACTTATGTCATCTCTCACCCTAATCTTGCCACCCTTAACACCATTGTGAATGAGGAGCTGATTAAAATATCGACTTGGATGACAGCCAACAAACTTACGCTTAACACTGACAAAACTTACTATATTATGTTTGGTAGCAGAGCAGGAGATGCACAAATTAACATTAAGATTGACAACACTCTAATTACCAGAAATAATGGGGGGAAAATTCCTAGGCTTATACCTTGACAATAACCTGAATTGCAGCACCCATATGCAGCATATAGCCAAAAAAGTATCCAAAACGGTTGGGATCCTCTCCAAGATACGATACTACGTGCCGCAAAATGCCCTTCTCACACTATACCACTCGCTTATTTATCCATACCTCACCTATGCTATTTGTGCTTGGGGATCAACTGCAGCAACACACCTAAAGCCAATAATAACCCAACAAAAAGCTGCAGTAAGAATAATCACTAAATCCCATCCCTGGCAGCACACCCCCCCACTCTTCAAAGATCTAAACTTACTCCCAGTTCAGTACATCCACACTTACTACTGTGCAATCTATATCTACAGGGCCTTAAACTCTAATATCAACCTTGACCTTAAACGCTTTCTTGATAGTTGTGACAGAACCCACAGGCATAACACCAGAAACAAACATCTCTACGACATTCCCCGTGTCCGACTAAACCTTTACAAAAATTCAATGTATGTCAAAGGCCCTAAAATCTGGAATACCCTACCTGAGAACTCTAGAAATGCAGACACATTCATCACCTTCAAAACTACCATTAGAAAACATCTTATCTCCCTGATACACCCCGTCAACTAACTTCACGAATACCACCTGGTGGTTCACACTTACACTCGCACACTCATTTGACCATAAACAGAAATATTAATCTCAGTCTTAATATAATGAATCCTGTGATACTCCAATACTGAAACTATGTACTGTGCCAAAACAAAAGCATTCACACTGCTAAACTCACAAAATAGTATTTAGTCACTTAGCCATAATACCAACTTACCTCATAATTTGTAATATTTTACATTTAAGAATAAAACTAAGTATGCCCGAAATGCCTAGCCATGCTAAGCGTTCTAGTGGTACACTCTGTAATCTCAATTTTACTACATGTTAAACCAAACAATAACCAAATTTCTGTAAACTCAGCATTGTAATCCTTACAGAGAATCCTTATAGAGAATAATCAGGGTTGATTTAAGGAAGAGGAAATTGGTTACAATTCCTTGGATCAAGAACCCCTCATGGCCTGATAATGTAATCAGGGTTGATTTAAGGAAGAGGAAATTGGTTACAATTCCTTGGATCAAGAACCCCTCATGGCCTGATAATGTAATCAGGGTTGATTTAAGGAAGAGGAAATTGGTTACAATTCCTTGGATCAAGAACCCCTCATGGCCTGATAATGTAATCAGGGTTGATTTAAGGAAGAGGAAATTGGTTACAATTCCTTGGATCAAGAACCCCTCATGGCCTGATAATGTAATCAGGGTTGATTTAAGGAAGAGGAAATTGGTTACAATTCCTTGGATCAAGAACCCCTCATGGCCTGATAATGTAATCAGGGTTGATTTAAGGAAGAGGAAATTGGTTACAATTCCTTGGATCAAGAACCCCTCATGGCCTGATAATGTAATCAGGGTTGATTTAAGGAAGAGGAAATTGGTTACAATTCCTTGGATCAAGAACCCCTCATGGCCTGATAATGTAATCAGGGTTGATTTAAGGAAGAGGAAATTGGTTACAATTCCTTGGATCAAGAACCCCTCATGGCCTGATAATGTAATCAGGGTTGATTTAAGGAAGAGGAAATTGGTTACAATTCCTTGGATCAAGAACCCCTCATGGCCTGATAATGTAATCAGGGTTGATTTAAGGAAGAGGAAATTGGTTACAATTCCTTGGATCAAGAACCCCTCATGGCCTGTTAATGTAATCAGGGTTGATTTAAGGAAGAGGAAATTGGTTACAATTCCTTGGATCAAGAACCCCTCATGGCCTGATAATGTAATCAGGGTTGATTTAAGGAAGAGGAAATTGGTTACAATTCCTTGGATCAAGAACCCCTCATGAGCATCAAGACACCTATCTTGGTTAGATATGCTTTTAATTTCTCTAAAAATTATTTCTTAATATCCAATTACTACACTCCTGAGGGAGCTCTAAACTCTTACAGGTCATATAGTGCCTGGGGGGTATGAGAGACATTAGGGTTTGATACAAGGAAGGGGACCACTGGTTCAATTCCTTAGATCAAGAAAATTTCACTGGCATCAGTGAACCTTGGATATAGGGACCCCTCAAGGTACCTATATCGACTAGCACAAAGATGCCACTGTAAGTCGACATATCTCTTTTCTCTCAAAATGCCAGGTACCAGTCTAAATGCCCACTCTTGTACTTCCTGTTTTTATTTTGTTAATGAGTATTCCAAATCAGCATTGCATATTAAAAAAAAACACTAAACCCATATGGGTTATACAGCTTCTGTATGTTTAATAATGTCTTGTTTATAAGGTAAAGTACTGTGAATGAATATTTGCCAAGATTCTAAAAAATGAACTTTTAGGATAATAGTTACAGCCTCGCCTCACTTAGCGACATACTCATTTACTGACTGCTCAGACTTACGACCAGCTGTCTGACCGATATGCAAACCTAAGTATTGTATATTAGAGCTGATTTCCTCTATTCTGTTTATTACAGTACACAATATGTGCTTTCTTTTTGGGTCGCCCTGCTTCAGTGGGAGATGGCCGACTTGTTAAAAAATATACAGTACACTATTGTATAAACAATTAAAAATATGTATACTAAAAATGTTATAAATGATGCAAAGGTGACATTAAGAAAAATGTGAAGATGGTTGACACAAACCCACTACCAGCACAGTATGCTCTTTGCTTAACCAATTTGTTTACCAACCTACTCTTAGGAACAGAACTCAGTTGTTAAGTGAGGAGAGGCTGTATTCGAAAACCTTCAAATGTGCCTATTTACTGTTTTTACTCAGGTACACAAAAAATGAAAGCATGAAAATATAGTAGTACCAACACTCTTATATGGGTGTGAAGCTTGGGTTGTAAATGTAGCAGCGAGGAGGCAGTTGGAGGCAGTGGAGATGTCCTGTCTAAGGGCAATGTGTGGTGTAAATATTATGCAGAAAATTCGGAGTGTGGAAATTAGGAGAAGGTGTGGAGCTAATAAAAGTATTAGTCAGAGGGCTGAAGAGGGGTTGTTTAGGTGGTTTGGTGATTTAGAGAGAATAGATCAAAGTAGAATGACATGGAGAGCATCTAAATCTGTAGGGGAAGGAAGGCGGGGTAGGGGTCATCCTCAAAAAGGTTGGAAGGGGTAAGGGAGGTTTTGTGGGCGAGGGGCTTGGACTTCCAGCAGGCGTGCATGAGTGTGTTCGATAGGAGTGAATGGAGACGAATGGTATTTGGGACCTGACGATCTGTTGGAGTGTGAGCAGGGTAATATTTAGTGAAAGAATTCAGGGAAACCGGTTATTTTTATATAGCCGGACTTGAGTCCTGGAAATGGGAAGTACAATGCCTGCACTTTAAAGGAGGGGTTTTGGGATATTAGCAGTTTGGAGGGATATGTTGTGTATCTTTATACGTATATGCTTCTAAACTGTTGTGTTCTGAGCACCTCTGCAAAAACAGTGATTATGTGTGAGTGAGGTGAAAGTGTTGAATGATGATGAAAGTATTTTCTTTTTGGGGATTTTCTTTCTTTTTGGGTCACCCTGCCTCAGTGGGAGACGGCCGACTTGTTGAAAAAAAAAAAATCCACACATAGGAGACAAACTTATAACACCGTTTCAGTCAATCTTCGACCATTAACTGGTGATTATTTAATGGTCCGAGCCGGACTGTAATGTTACAGATTTTATTCTCCTATGTGAGGGTTGTATGTGTATATTGTTCCAGTCAATTATTATTATAATCATGGGTGAGTGCTAAACCCATAGGATTATACAGCACCTGTATACATAAGAGGGATTACCAATAGACCCCTGGTTGTTTTCAAGAAGGCACTGGACAGGCATCTAAAGTCAGTACCTGACTAGCCAGGCTGTGGTTCATGCATCAGTTTGCGTGCGGCCAGCAGTAACAGCCTAGTTGATCAGACAATGATTCACCACGAGGCCTGGTCTCAGACCAAGCCACGAGGGCATTGACCCCCCGAAACCCTCTCCAGGTATACCTGTGGGGAGGATGGAAGGTATTTAAGCTTAATTCAGGTAACTGGAGCACAGATCCAATTCCCTAGATCAAGAGCCCCTCACCAGCATCAAGAAACCTTCCTTGAGGGACCTTGCATCAAGAGCCCCTCACCAGCATCAAGGAACCTACCTGGAGGGGCCCAAGATCAAAAGCCCCTCACCAGCATCAAGGAATCTACCTTGAAGGGCCCTAGATCAAGAACCCCTCACCAGCATCAAGGAACCTACCTTGAGGGGCCCTAGATCAAGAGCCCCTTACCAGCATCAAGGAACCTACCTTGAGGGGCCCTAGATCAAGAGCCCCCTTACCAGCATCAAGGAACCTACCTGGAGGGGCTCTAGATCAAGAGCCCCTCTCCAGCATCAGGGAACCTCCCTTGTGGGGTGTTCCAGCCCCGTTATTATGACTTTATTCTTTACTAATGCTCTTGTTTTTGTTGTTTGCAAGTGCCATAGCTTCATAACTGGTTTTCTCAGGTTAACCCTTAAACTGTCCAAACGTAGATCTACGTCCATGTGCAGGGGGCTCCGAATGTAGATTTACGTTTTTTTTTTTTACATGCTTTCAAATGGGGAAAATCAAGGTCGGAGCGCTACGCATGTAACCATAGATCTACGTTTGGACAGTTTAAGGGTTAAAACCTTGTTTCATCATCTAGTTTGTGTTCTCTATTTTTTGCAACAATTGAAAACAAGAAAATGTTATTACCTATTTGTAGCTACACAAGCACAGCTTAACTTTTGGTGCCCCATCATCCTCATTTATGCTATCAATGTTTTTTAAAGTTGTAAGTGGCTGTAGGAATTACTACCTCTTTGTAAATAATTTTGCTGATTTACAATACTAGGAATTGACCTTTGTTGACCTCCACTAGTCACACTATCCCGGCACATTTCATCCCTTATTATAAAACTATTTCTCCAGCTGTGTTGATACCTTTGCCTTCACCCCCAACTTTCTTCTCAATTTTATTACTGCATACCTGGGAGAGAGAGAAACTCACAAAAATCACACAGCACATGGGAAATAGAAGGCAAACAGAGTACATCAAAGAATGGGAAGGGCAGTTCAATTCCCTTGGATTAAGAACCCCTTGGTAACATCAAGGCACCCGGCTTCCTTTGAATGCTGTGAATCCAAAGGTTGTACAATAATAAACAATGTATAACTCCATTAGGTTCAAACATATGAATTCTGACAGCTGAATGGTGAGTGTCTGAGCATGGCTAATTACATTACCTAAACCTCACACAATACAGTGGAACCTCGGTGTTTGAGCGAACCCTTGTCTAAACAAGCAGTATTATTATTAACATAATCAAGGGGGAGCACTAAACCCGTAGGATTATGCAGTGCCTGCAGGGGGGTTGTGGAAGGTATTCAGGCTTAATTCCAGAAACCGAAGCACAGATCCAGTTCCCCTCAAGGAACCTTCCTTGACGGGATGTGAACAAGCAGTAGTGAAAATAAAGGTAAGAGGAAAACCGTGAGAACCACAAATGAATTAAGAAAAAATTTATTTCAAAGACATTGGGTTATAATAATAATAATAATAATAATGATTAAAAATTTATTTTAGTAAAAATACATAAAAAAAAGAAGAAACTCTGCACATGTATTCATTAAACACTATATAGAGGAAAAATAGACCAAATACGTACAGTGGACCCCCGCTTAACGATCACCTCCCAATGCGACCAATTATGTAATTGTATTTATGTAAGTGCGTTTGTACGTGTATGTTTGGGGATCTGAAATGGACTAATCTACTTCACAATATTCCTTATGGGAACAAATTCGGTCAGTACTGGCACCTGAACATACTTCTGGAATGAAAAAATATCGTTAACCGGGGGTCCACTGTATTCCCTACTACATATATTAAAGACCCGAGTGTCCATTAATTAATATTCTCAAGGTATAACTACTCAAATTCCTCTCAGTGCTGATACTGAGCAAAACACTCAATTAGGTAATTATAAACTCTCTACAATCTTCGTAAAGAATATAAGGGCATATAATATATAATATGATTAAGTTATACCTTGAATGTTAAGACCCTGGGATGCCTTCGTAGAGTGTAATTTCAACCTTCTTAAAGATGTGCATCTTTCTTGCTGGAAATGATTATTAATTGCAAGGGAAGGAGCAACTATTTCCTATCTTGTGAATAAATGGTTTACGAAACTGATATTGTGCAACATTTGGGTATTATTATTCTGGAAATGTTTTGCTATGCAGTGGCCTCTTCAGTCCAATACAGAGAAGGGCAGAAGGTGAGGAGGAATTTGAGATAATCAGTCCCTGACTAAAGAGTTTGAGATAATCAGTCCCTGACTGATTACCTCACACTACTACTCATCTTCCACCTTTCTCTGTATTGGACTGAAGAAGCCACTGCACAGAAAAACATTTCCAGAATAAAGATACCGAAATGTTACATAAATGTTTCATTTATCTACTCCCTATCTTCCTTTCTTTTGTCTTTAATAACATACATAGCTTAATAGGAAATACAGTGGACCCCCGGTTAACGATATTTTTTCAATCCAGAAGTATGTTCAGGTGCCAGTACTGACCGAATTTGTTCCCATAAGGAATATTGTGAGGTAAATTAGTCCATTTCAGACCCCCAAACATATACGTACAAACGTACTTACATAAATACACTTACATAATTGGTCGCATTCGGAGGTGATCGTTATGCGGGGGTCCACTGTAATTCCGACCCACTTTCCTAACTATCAGTGTTCAAGAAAAACTAAGGCTTATGTTATTGTATTTATATTTAGACTTGGGACTAAAAAATTGATTACATTATCACAGAAACCTGGCATAACTGCCTAAGGAAAAAAGTAATTTCTGAGGAATCACAAATCCAGCAGCATCCTTGAATCTATATTCCCACCAGATCTAGCCAACAATCTCTGTGGCTTTTTAATAAAAATTTGCTAGTGTAAATCTATGTTGGGTAAAAAGACAAGTGCAATTAATGCAACATTTTCTTGGTAATGTTTTGATCTCTAGGAACTCTGTCAAGCCGTTACAGCTTGATAAAGCTCCTGTAGAGCGAAAGGTTGCCACAGTAAAATGTCACATTAGTTGTACGTGTGTCCTTTTACCTAACATATTGTTGGTAATTCTACCAACATTATTACATTGTAAATCTAGTCAAAGTAACAATTTCCTGTCATATATTATCAGGGGAAATAAATAAGAAGCAAGACTAAAAACAATGTTAAAATACATTACATATCCAAGGAAGTTCCAAATTAGAAATGTAAACTAGCAAAAAATAAAATCTACCGAACAATTTTAACGAATAGTACGAGCCAGCATTGAAATTGGGTGACCTTTGTTGCCATTTGTTTGTTTTTTATCTTTCTTGTCAACAGCCCAACACTTCCACATACGGATAGTCTCGTCAGCAGCTGCGCTGACCACCATCTGCCCGTCAGGTGATAAACACAGTTCTAGAACTCTACCAGTGTGACCTGAAAACATACACACATTGTATGAAATACAAATTATAACGCTCCATTATTTCCACATGACCAAACATTTGTATTTTGGTTTTTTCCCCATTGAATTATGTACATTTTATACAATACATTGTACAGCTAGGTAGTTTTCAAACTTTAAATGCTTTCTAAGAGCCCCAGTTGTAAGTGTGGATGTGTAAGCTGGCAACATCCTCTAATTAGGTAACCCACTTTTTTATAATTAATTTCAAAAGACTATCAATAATCAGTCATATTTTAAGTAATACATTGCACTTTTAAATACACTAGAACTCAGGTGGTTTAGACAGGATGAACTAAAAGAATTTGTTATTAACTTTTAACCCATAAACGGTCCAAGCAGATCTACGTTCGCATGTGTTGTGCTACAAAAGTAGATATTTGTTTTTTTTACATATTTTCAAACAAAAAAAAAGTAGATCAAAGTTTTTTTTAACACATTTTCAAGTGTAAAAAAACAAAAAGAAGATCTACTTTTTTATATACTTTCAAACGTTGAAAAAACGTATACAGTGGAACCTCAAAAATCGAACTGCTTCCAACACAACCAATTATGTAAGTGTATTTTTGTAAGTGCTTTTATAAGTGTATTTTTGAGGGTCTGAAATGGACTAACCTAATTTACATTATTCCTCATGGGAATAAATTCATTCGGTAAAGGCACTCAAACAGCCTTCTGGACCAAAGAAAGTTCGATATTTGAGGTTCCACTGTATATATGTTTGGACCGTTTACGGGTTAAAGGATCAAAGGCAATGTTAGTGTTTGAGGCTTCTAACTCACCTGTAAGATCTGCCACTTTGCACATGGTGGGATACTTCCAGAGGGTCAGTTGGTGGTTGGAAAAGCCATGTCCAGAGATTAATTCCTTATAGTGGGATGACCATAATATGGAGGACACCTGAAGTACAATATCTATCAAAGAACTTCTGAAAGTACATTTTTTATTGCATTTTAATAACTACAAAACTAATATCACTGTCTTGCAAGACAAGACTGGCAAGACAGTGATAGTGTAAATGATGGTTAAAGTGTTTCTTTCTCAGGTCACCTTGCCTCGGTGGGGGAGAACCATTGTGAAAAAAAAAAAAAATCTCCCACGCATACAGAACTTCACAGAAAACCTATGGGTCATTCAGTTCAATGGGTGGCAGATGCTTGATCACCCTCCTACTAGTCAGTCAATCTCCTGGTAATAATTTCTGATGAATAAGACACTCCGGTGTTGAGGATTTTTTTTTTTTTAACACGTCAGTCGTCTCCCAACAAGGCAGGGTGATCCAATAAGAAAGAAAATCCCCAAAGAGAAAATACTTTCATCCTCATTCAACTTTCATCATCACTCATACATAATCACTGTCTTTGCAGAGGCACTCAGATACGACAGTTCAGAAGTCCCTCCAAACTGCCAATATCCCAAATCCCTCCTTTAAAGTGCAGACATTGTACTTCCCATTTCCAGGACTCAAGTCCGGCTAACCTGTCAAAGATGCCTCCCCTAATTCTGATTGCCTAAATTTTGGAAAAAAAAAATAAATAAATAAAAATAAACGATACTTAGGCCTCCAAGATGTTGAGTAAATTTTTGACTTATTTTGGGAAAAAAATAGTCCGACGCCATAAAATATGATAAGTATATCACAAAGGTACTCAGCCCACTTGGGCAACAAAGGCCTGTTACATTTCAAGTGGGAACAGTGTTGGTGCACCAAAGAGTAATAAGCATTTGTTAGTGGAAGAATATAACCCATGGAAGACAAAAATTAGTAATAAGGTTTGTACATTTTGACCTCCAACTAAGATCCCCTATCAGATGCTTACATAAACGGATTTCAGGTCAAAAAAAAAGTTTCTTTCCTATTTTTAGTCGCCATGTTGAACAAATCCTCCCAGGGAACAAAGTCTACTGAACTTGGAAGGGGAAGATCAATCTTTGCAGTGGGAGACTCAAGACGACAGTCAGGGAAATGAACTGAATAAACAATTTATTCTGAATCAAATAAATAATTTAAGTAGAAAAGGAACTTCCACAGACATAAGAGAAGTATTATTGTTAATGTGTCATAAATCACAAAATCATACTAAGACAATTAAAAACAAACCATCGGCCAAGCTCATGGAAGACCCACTTGAAAAACTTGCATTTGTGGTCACAGTGGTGGCCCATGCCCATACAGAAATATACCTAGCTAGATGAATCTTACTGTAGACAGCTGGCCCAGTGCAGCTGGCCCAGTGCAGCTGGCCCAGTGCAGCTGGCCCAGTGGTTCATGCACCAGCCTGGAGTTTTAGGACCTACTTGCCATGGGTTCAAACCCCACCCATTCCATGTTTTATTTTTAAATGTGTCATGAAAATTAACTGACAATGAACTTAAACATATAATGGCCTACATAACTGCTCATTTAGAGTATCTTGAAGACATCACTGATTATTATTCAAAACTTTGGCAGTACAGTTATATAACACAGGTATAAGAATATACAGGTATGTATATGTTTACCTGGTAAAGCACTTGGCTCTCTGAGTAGTACTCTAGCAACACAGAAGTGAAATATTTTCTGAATCTTAAGAAAAATTCCCAATTCCAAAGAAATTATACACATCTGTGAAGGATAAATTTAAGGCTATAATATACAAATTCCGTCCTGCCAAGTGAATGTAAAATGAAAGCCTGTACGTAATTGTTTTACATGATGGTAGGATTACTGGTGTTTTTTTCTGTCTCATAAACATGCAAGGTTTCAGGTACATTTTGCTACTTCTACTTACACTTAGGTCACACTACATACACGTTTTTTTTTTTTTTCAACAAACCGGCCGTATCCCACCAAGGCAGGGTGGCCCAAAAAGAAAAACAAAAGTTTCTCTTTTCAAATTTAGTAATTTATACAGGAGAAGGGGTTACTAGCCCCTTGCTCCCGGCATTTTAGTCGCCTCTTACAACACGCATGGCTTACGGAGGAAGAATTCTGTTCCACTTCCCCATGGAGGTAAGAGGAAATAAACAAGAACAAGAACTAGTAAGAAAATAGAAGAAAACCCAGAGGGGTGTGTATATATATACAGTGGACCCCCGGTTAACGATTTTAATCCGTGCAAGAGGGGTAATTGTTATGCGAAATAATCGTTATGTGAATGAATTTTCCCCATAAGAAATAATGGAAATAAAATTAATCCGTGCAAGACACCCAAAAGTATGAAAAAAAAATTTTTTTACCACATGAAATGTTAATTTTAATACACACAAACTGAAAAAGGCATGCACAATTACATGACACTTACTTTTATTGAAGATCTGGTGATGATTGATGGGATGGGAGGAGGGGAGAGAGAGTGTTAGTGTTTAGAAGGGGAATCCCCTTCCATTAGGACTTGAGGTAGCAAGTCCTTTTCTGGGGTTACTTCCCTTCTTCTTTTAATGCCACTAGGGCCAGCTTCAGAGTCACTGGACTTCTTTCGCACAAGATATCTGTCCATAGTGGCCTGTACCTCTCGTTCCTTTATGACTTGCCTAAAGTGTTTCACAACATTGTCAGTGTAATAATCACCAGCACGGCTTGCAATAGCTGTGTGAGGGTGATTTTCATCCATGAAGGTTTGCACTTCAAGCCACTTTGCACAGATTTCCTTTATCTTTGTAGTAGGCAACTTCTTCAATTTCTCTCTCCCCTCCTCTGAACCAGTTTCCCCAGGTCTGGCCTCTTGCTCTTGAAGTTGATCTATCAGCTCATCAGTGGTTAGTTCTTCATTGTCCTCCTCCACCAACTCTTCCACATCCTCCCCACTAACCTCCAACCCCAAGGACTTTCCCAATGCCACAATGGATTCCTCAACTGGCACAGGATTCTCAGGGTTAGCCTCAAACCCTTTAAAATCCCTTTTGTCTACACATTCTGGCCACAGTTTCTTCCAAGCAGAGTTCAAGGTCTTCTTAGTCACTCCCTCCCAAGCCTTACCTATAAGGTTTACACAATTGAGGATATTAAAGTGCTCTCTCCAAAACTCTCTTAGAGTCAGTCGAGTTTCTGAGGTCACTACAAAGCACCTTTCAAACAGAGCTTTTGTGTACAGTTTTTTGAAGTTTGCAATAACCTGCTGGTCCATGGGCTGCAGGAGAGGAGTGGTATTAGGAGGCAAAAACTTCACCTTAATGAAGCTCATGTCCCCATAAAGTCGCTCTGCCACGTCTGTAGGATGACCAGGGGCATTGTCTAACACCAGGAGGCACTTAAGGTCTAATTTCTTTTCAGTTAGGTAATCTTTCACATTGGGGGCAAATGCATGGTGTAACCAGTTATAGAAAAAGTCCCTAGTGACCCATGCCTTACTGTTTGCCCTCCACAGCACACACAAATTATCCTTGAGGACATTCTTTTGCCTGAACGCTCTGGGAGTTTCAGAGTGATACACTAATAAAGGCTTAACTTTGCAATCACCACTAGCATTGGCACACATCAACAAAGTAAGCCTGTCTTTCATAGGCTTATGTCCTGGGAGTGCCTTTTCCTCCTGAGTAATGTAGGTCCTGCTTGGCATTTTCTTCCAGAACAGGCCTGTTTCATCACAATTAAACACTTGTTCAGGTTTCAGTCCTTCACTGTCTATGTACTCCTTGAATTCCTGCACATATTTTTCAGCCGCTTTGTGGTCCGAACTGGCAGCCTCACCATGCCTTATCACACTATGGATGCCACTACGCTTCTTAAATCTCTCAAACCAACCTTTGCTGGCCTTAAATTCACTCACATCATCACTAGTTGCAGGCATTTTTTTAATTAAATCCTCATGCAACTTCCTAGCCTTTTCACATATGATCGCTTGAGAGACGCTTTCTCCTGCTAGCTGTTTTTCATTTATCCACACCAATAAGTCTCTCTCAACATCTTCCATCACTTGCGATCTTTGTTTCGAAAACACAGTTAAACCTTTGGCAAGAACAGCTTCCTTGATTGTCTTTCTGGTGCCCACAATAGTAGCGATGGTTGATTGGGGTTTCTTGTACAACTTGACTAGGTTGGCGATACGCACTCCACTTTCATACTTATCAATGATCTCTTTCTTCATTTCAATGGGAATTCTCACCCTTATTGGTGTACGGTTGGCACTAGAAGCTTTCTTGGGGCCCATGGTCACTTATTTTCCAGAAACAGCACCGAAAACACTGTAATAATACGAAATATTCCGAGTGTATGCTTGGATGTTACCGCGGAGGCTGGCTGGTAAACAATGGCACGGGCGGCACATGTGAGGCTGGCTGAGGGCGCACATTGGACGCGTCTCGGACGAAAATCGGTGAGCGGGTTTTTAATCGGTATGCGCGGCAAAATTTTTGCGATTAAAGTAAGCGGTATGCGGATTAATCGCTATGTGATGCCATCGTTATGCGGGGGTCCACTGTATATATATATATATATATATATGGCAGTTTGGAGGGATATGTTGTGTATCTTTATACGTATATGTTTCTAAACTGTTGTATTCTGAGCACCTCTGCAAAAGCAGTGATAATGTGTGAGTGTGGTGAAAGTGCTGAATGATGATGAAAGTATTTTCTTTTTGGGAGACGGCCGACTTGTTGGAAAAAAAAAAAAAAAAAAAACATGTATGTGTAGTGTGACCTAAGGGTAAGTAGAAGTAGCAAGACGTACCTGAAATCTTGCATGTTTACGAGACAGAAAAATGGACACCAGCAATCCTACCATCAAGTAAAACAATTACAGGCTTTCGTTTTACACTCACTTGGCAGGACGGTAGTACCTTCCTGGGTGGTTGCTGTCTACCAACCTACTACCTAGAACATATACATGTACAAACATATATATACACACCCCTCTGGGTTTTCGTCTATTTTCTTACTAGTTCTTGTTCTTGTTTATTTCCTCATATCTCCATGGGGAAGTGGAACAGAATTCTTCCTCTATAAGCTATGCGTGTTGTAAGAGGCGACTAAAGTGCCGGGAGCAAGGGGCTAGTAACCTCTTCTCCTGTATATATTACTAAATGTGAAAGAAGAAACTTTTGTTTTTCCTTTTGGGCCGCCCCGCCTCGGTGGGATACGGCCGGTGTGTTGAAAGAAAAAAGATATACAAATTCATACATAGGCAGACCTGAGAATTGGTTTGAACATCCTTGAGACAGATGCCAGTGGTACAGTTCCAGAGTCGAATGGTTCTATCAGCAGTGCCACCACCTGTAGCCAGGAGGTTATTTTGCCAGGGACACCAAGCTACTGCCTGAAATACAACACCACATTATCAGAACACACAACATAATTTTGTTTACAAAATACAATCCTTATACAATACTTTTCTATGTTTTCCTGGCCAATGTCTCCTTACCCTTTGAAATTAAGAAAAACAGAGAAGTGATTATGGCAATTATGGTATATTTATCATCAGAGATCTGGGGATTTGTCAAATGTATGTTTACAACAAGTCAGAGAATACTTGTGGTGGGTGAACAAAATGTTAGAGTGAAATGCTTGTAGATGACATAGTAGGCAAGGGGTAAATGATACAAAGAGGCTTAACTGAATTACGTATATACAGAACAAGGTTTGGTAATACATAATACTTGTATTTAGAAAAATAAGGTAGATATAAGCGAGATATAAGCGACTATTGGCAGAAAGGTGGGCTAGTGCAAAGATGAGTAGTGGGGGGGTTGAAGAGGGTTGGAATAGTTTTAAAAATGCAGTATTAGAATGTGGGGCAGAAGTTTGTGGTTATAGGAGGGTGGGGGCAGGAGGAAAGAGGAGTGATTGGTGGACTGATGAAGTAAAGGGTGTGATAAGAGAGAAAAAGGTAGCTTACGAGAGTTTTTTACAAAGCAGAAGTGTTATAAGAAGAACAGAGTATATGGAGAGTAAAAGAAAGGTGAAGAGAGTGGTGAGAGAGTGCAAAAGGAGAGCAGATGAAAGAGTGGGAGAGGCACTGTCAAGAAATTTTAATGAAAATAAGAAAAAATTTTGGAGTGAGTTAAACAAGTTAAGAAAGCCTAGGGAAAGTATGGATTTGTCAGTTAAAAACAGAGTAGGGGAGTTAGTAGATGGGGAGATGGAGGTATTGGGTAGATGGCGAGAATATTTTGAGGAACTTTTAAATGTTAAGGAAGAAAGGGAGGCAGTAATTTCATGCACTGGCCAGGGAGGTATACCATCTTTTAGGAGTGAAGAAGAGCAGAATGTAAGTGTGGTGAAGGTACGTGAGGCATTACGTAGAATGAAAGGGGGTAAAGCAGCTGGAACTGATGGGATCATGACAGAAATGTTAAAAGCAGGGGGGGATATAGTGTTGGAGTGGTTGGTACTTTTGTTTAATAAATGTATGAAAGAGGGGAAGGTACCTAGGGATTGGCAGAGAGCATGTATAGTCCCTTTATATAAAGGGAAAGGGGACAAAAGAGACTGTAAAAATTATAGAGGAATAAGTTTACTGAGTATACCAGGAAAAGTATACGGTAGGGTTATAATTGAAAGAATTAGAGGTAAGACAGAATGTAGAATTGCGGACGAGCAAGGAGGCTTCAGAGTGGGTAGGGGATGTGTAGATCAAGTGTTTACATTGAAGCATATATGTGAACAGTATTTAGGTAAAGGTAGGGAAGTTTTTATTGCATTTATGGATTTAGAAAAGGCATATGATAGAGTGGATAGAGGAGCAATGTGGCAGATGTTGCAAGTATATGGAATAGGTGGTAAGTTACTAAATGCTGTAAAGAGCTTTTATGAGGATAGTGAGGCTCAGGTTAGGGTGTGTAGAAGAGAGGGAGAATACTTCCTGGTAAAAGTAGGTCTTAGACAGGGATGTGTAATGTCACCATGGTTGTTTAATATATTTATAGATGGGGTTGTAAAAGAAGTAAATGCCAGGGTGTTCGGGAGAGGGGTGGGATTAAATTATGGGGAATCAAATTCAAAATGGGAATTGACACAGTTACTTTTTGCTGATGATACTGTGCTTATGGGAGATTCTAAAGAAAAATTACAAAAGTTCGAGGATGAGTTTGAGAATGTGTGTAAAGGTAGAAAGTTGAAAGTGAACATAGAAAAGAGTAAGGTGATGAGGGTATCAAATGATTTAGATAAAGAAAAATTGGATATCAAATTGGGGAGGAGGAGTATGGAAGAAGTGAATGTTTTCAGATACTTGGGAGTTGACGTGTCGGCGGATGGATTTATGAAGGATGAGGTTAATCATAGAATTGATGAGGGAAAAAAAGGTGAGTGGTGCGTTGAGGTATATGTGGAGTCAAAAAACGTTATCTATGGAGGCAAAGAAGGGAATGTATGAAAGTATAGTAGTACCAACACTCTTATATGGATGTGAAGCTTGGGTGGTAAATGCAGCAGCGAGGAGACGGTTGGAGGCAGTGGAGATGTCCTGTCTAAGGGCAATGTGTGGTGTAAATATTATGCAGAAAATTCGGAGTGTGGAAATTAGGAGAAGGTGTGGAGTTAATAAAAGCATTAGTCAGAGGGCAGAAGAGGGGTTGTTGAGGTGGTTTGGTCATTTAGAGAGAATGGATCAAAGTAGAATGACATGGAAAGCATATAAATCTATAGGGGAAGGAAAGAGGGGTAGGGGTCGTCCTCGAAAGGGTTGGAAAGAGGGGGTAAAGGAGGTTTTGTGGGTGAGGGGCTTGGACTTCCAGCAAGCGTGCATGAGTGTGTTAGATAGGAGTGAATGGAGACGAATGATACTTGGGACCTGACGATCTGTTGGAGTGTGAGCAGGGTAATATTTAGTGAAGGGATTCAGGGAAACCGGTTATTTTCATATAGTCGGACTTGAGTCCTGGAAATGGGAAGTACAATGCCTGCACTTTAAAGGAGGGGTTTGGGATATTGGCAGTTTGGAGGGATATGTTGTGTATCTTTATACGTATATGCTTCTAAACTGTTGTATTCTGAGCACCTCTGCAAAAGCAGTGATAATGTGTGAGTGTGGTGAAAGTGTTGAATAATGATGAAAGTATTTTCTTTTTGGGGATTTTCTTTCTTTTTTTTTTGGGTCACCCTGCCTCGGTGGGAGACGGCCGACTTGTTGAGGAAAAAAAAAAAAAAAAAAAAAAGTACACAAGATATGATTACAGAGTGCAGTGACAGTGTGCTAGATGAAGTAGATAAGAAAAGTGTCAAGTAGATTTCTAGAGGTACATGATTTTAGAAAGGCAACAAATATATATTTTTTTATTATTATCAACACATCAGCCATTTCCCACCAAGGTAGGGTGGCCTGAAAAAGAAAAACGTTCACCATCATTCATGGCATCACTGTCTTGCCAGTGGCACGATTACACTACAGTTATAAAACTGCAACATTAACACCCCTCCTTCAGAGTGCAGGCACTGTACTTCCCATCTCCAGGACTCAAGTCATTATTTAGTGGCAGCTACAGTGAGAGTATACCCATGGAAGTTTGTTTAGGGAGGCAAGAAAGTAATGTACCATAGCAGAGAAGTACTAACACTTTTTTATGGGTGAGGAATGCTTAAAATATTGCAGCATTTACGACAAAGTCAGTGGTGATGTTATGTTTGAGAGCAATGTGTAGTGTGAATATTAGGCATAGAATTTGGTGCATAGAAATTAGACTATGGAGCGTGAGTTACCAAAGGTATAATTCAGAGGGCCGAGGAGGGCTTGTCGAATCACTACAAGAGGTTACTAAGTAGGGCAAATGTTCACGTTTCCTATTGCATACATAGTAGCCAACTGAAATTACACTCAAGCTTTCACTAAACAGGTAAGCACAGCATACAGTAGACAAAATAAATGAATACAATAGCAATCCATCTATTTTAGTAATCCATCTGTTTTGCAAGTAAAACAAGTGGGTGTGCTTGTTCTCACCTTGATGGCAGCTTGATGATCAGTGAAGGTATGTAGAGGTGTAGTGGCACCTTGCTCCCAGATGTTCACTTGGTTGTCATTGGCACCAGAGGCCAGAACTCTGCCATCAGGAGACCATTTCAAACCACATACTTCCTGGTGACAAAATTATATTATGAATTTCTTTATCAACATGTTGGCCATCTCCCACCAAGGTAGGGTGACCCAAGATAAGAAATACCATCTTGCACACTATCACTGTCATGCAAGAGGCATTTGCCGAGGGCTTAAATTCCTTCAATTTTCACCTTTAAATGTCACAAAACCACCATTAACAAAGATTTGGACCAAGTATCTTTGCAACATATCTCGTCCCGTTACCTCTACACCACATGACACGACTTCATCAGCTGGATTCCAACTAAAGAGGCACTATAAATTAGCACAATAATACTGGGTATAAGTCTTTGTTAATACAGACACGCCTTGCTAATACAGTGTTTTGCTTTAAAATGCTTCACTAATACAGTGCTTTTCAGCCATATTCATGTTTATCATTTTCGGTGGTGACACCACCGAAAATATATTTTTACAAGTGTATTTTTCCTGCTGCATCATTTCTTTTAGGCTTAGCACTACTGTACATTTAATAAATGATAATGTAAACATGTTTTTAGGCTTTTATATGTACCAGCAAGTGAAATAGAGGCTGTGATTCGCTTTAAGGCAATATTCGTTTTGTGGTGAAGACAATTAAATCCAAAAAACCTTAATAATCTTTGATCAACTAACCTGTGTGTGACTAACCAGCGTAGCAATATGGTGGTCTGCAATACGAACATCATGATGGAAAATCTGTCCTGAGCGAGACCCCGATGAAAGAATATACGAATTCCAAGAGAGAGTAGTGACACGATTTGAATGGCCTCCCATGGTGCGTACCAGCTTCTGTTGCCCAACATCCCAGAGCTGCGTCAAACCAGAGCTTAATCCCATGGCCAGAACATTACCTGTGTAAAATAAACAACTTAATGGTTTCTTGCACGGAACAGAAGTCACATTTTACCACACTGGACGTGTCCCATGAAGATTGTGCAATACATTCAGTAGCACTAATCTATTACACAAATTCCCTTTTAAATTCTAGGAGATAAACAAAAAAAAAGCTCCATCTATTTGAACCATTCTTTTCCTTGTAAAGTTAAACGTAAAACATACATTGCCGTGAGTACAAAAACTGCAATTAAGGACCACTGTGGCACTGGAACAAGAATTCGTAAATTTACCAGAGAGTAGGAAGAATGAAGAGCTGGACAATTGTGTTAGCGAGGCACTGTGGACCAAGATCATCATTTTTTTTTTTTTAACAAGTCGGCCGTCTCCCACTGAGGCAGGGTGACCCAAAAAGAAAGAAAATCCCCAAAAAGAAAATACTTTCATCATTCAACATTTTCACCTCCCTCAAACATAATCACTGTTTTTGCAGAGGTGCTCAGAAACACAACAGTTTAGAAGCATATACGTATAAAGATACACAACATATCCCTCCAAACTGCTAATATCCCGAACCCCTCCTTTAGAGCGCAGGCACTGTACTTCCCATTTCCAGGACTCAAGTCCGGCTATACAAAAATAACCAGTTTCTCCTAATGCAATTATTAGTCATACAGTATGATTGACTTAGCAGAAATTTCTGGTCATCTGATCAAGGCTTTCCAATGACTTACCAATGCAAAAGACAAATATTACATATTAGGATTTTGGTAGATCCTCCACCCCACTTAAGAACAAATAACAAAATTAAAAAAAATATTTGAAACTGAGGGTAAGAAATACAAAATTAAACAAAAATAAAAGGGGGTAATCTTCACATGCATTCTGAAACAGATTAGGATTTAATGAAGGTTTTGAGAGCTAAATCAGTTATTCAAAAAAAAAAAAAAAAAAAAAAAAAAAATGAATCATGACTGTCGAGGATGCTGGGTAACCCAACTGGAACAATAATTTATGGAATCTCTTAAAAATTAGCTGTGAAACTTGCTGATCAGAGATTACTACTGTTTCTTTCAGCTTATCCATGCAAGATAATCTCAGTAAATTCAAGCTGCCATCACGACTGGCTAACTGCGACAAAGTTTAACTCTTCATTGTCAAAGACAACACTGAAAATGGAATAGTTTGTTTATAAAATATAAAGGATAAACCTCCTCCCTAGAGACTGTAGTGTCTTACGACAGTTAGTCATTTTTCACAGATGTAGTGTGTGGTGTAAATATTGTGCAGAGAATTCAGAGTGTGGAAGTTAGGATGAGGTGTGAAGTTACTAAAAGTATTAGTCAGAGGGCTGAAGAGGGGTTATTGAGGTGGTTTGGTCATTTAGAGAAAATGGGTCAAAGTAGAATGACTTGGAGAGCGTATAAATCTGTAGGGGAAGGAAGGCAGGGTAGGGGTCGTCCTTGAAAAGGTTGGAGGGAGGGGGTGAAGGTTTTGTGGGTGAGGAGCTTGGAATTCCAGCAAGGATTTGTGAGCGTGTTAGATAGAAGTGAATGGAGACAAATGGTTTTTGGGACCTGGCGAGCTGTTGGAGTGTGAGCAGGGTAATAATTTGCGAGGGGATTCAGGAAAACCGGTTAGCCGGACTTGAGTCCTGAAAATGGGAAGTACAATGCCTGCACTGTAAAGGAGGGGTTTGGGATATTGGCAGTTTGGAGGGACTTCTGAAATGTTGTATATGAGCGCCTCTGCAAAGACGGTGATTATGTATGAGTCAGGTGAAAGTGTTGAATGATGAAAGTATTTTCTTTTTGGGGATTTTTTTTTCTTTCTCTTTGGGTCACCCTGCCTCGGTGGGAGACGATCAACTTGTTAAAAAAAAAAAGGGGGGGGGGTAGTAATGAATAAGTATGGTTCAACACTTTTTTTTTTCAACAAGTCGGCCATCTCCCACCGATGCAGGGTGACCCAAAAAAGAAAGAAAATCCCCAAAAAGAAAATACTTTCATCATCATTCAACACTTTCACTACACTCGCACATTATCACTGTTTTTGCAGAGGTGCTCAGAATACAACAGTTTAGAAGCATATACGTATAAAGATACACAACATATCCCTCCAAACTGCCAATATCCCAAACCCCTCCTTTAAAGTGCAGGCACTGTACTTCCCATTTCCAGGACTCGAGTCCGACTATATGAAAATAACCAGTTTCCCTGAATGGTTCAACACAAAGTTAGCAAATTACCTACTCTAAAGTCAGTAAAAAGACCAAATTAAAAACTTGGTGGATGCATGAGAAATTTTTTGGCTTGAACAGGAAAATCAAATAAAAGTCTGACTGGCTTGCAAGTTATTTGTGTACAGTTCGTCACAGTATTGTGCCTTTTTATCCTTTCAGAAAAATCCAATTATTGTCTTTATGGAAGTGAAAACCATGCAGAATCTCTCATCAGTTGCATATAGAGAGGTTTACCTATACAAATTCAGTGGTTTTCCTGTCAGACTTACACACAGACTCACCCTCTTTGATCCAGGATAATGAGCACACATAATCTGGGTCATCAAGCTGGGCTAAGGGGGTGATAGAGCCATCTCCTGCATTCCAGATGTAGATGGAGCTACTGAGTGCAACTGCCAAGTGGTTATTTATACTCCAGTCCAGCAGATGGAGATCTGAGAAGAAAAAGCTACCTTGTAAATCATACCATGGGCGGAGATTGAACTCGTAGCGACTGAGTTGTAAAACTCCAGGCTAGCGCATAAGCCACCGTTTGCAATCATGTCATTATGATTTCACGAGTCAAGATACCTTGTAGTTATTGCTACCTGGGTTTGAAAAGTAAATAAATAATTCCCCCTAAAAGTTTTTAAGTTTGCAACAACATTTCATCTTTTTATTTTTGTGTTCATGTTATGATCCTCTAAACATCAACAAATGTTACAAAAAATAGGAAAATCAGTTTAGTAAAAGCAAGAGCACATTTCAAGAAAGGCAATTAGCCAACTCTGATTTACTGGACTATGTACTAATTCTCATAAGCAGAAGCATAGAGAAGGGAGGGGTGAAGACTGATGGTGCTGGGACATGATCACAAACACAAGTACTTGCCTGTATGTGGTTGCAGGGCTTGTGGTCTAGCCTTGCAACTTGCCAGGTTTGCTTCCTCCTAATTTTATGGCCCCTATCATACCAGCTCTTAAAACCAATTATGGGGCCTGCCAACACTACATCACTGAAACTATTCCACTTCCCAACCATCCTGAGACTAAAGAAGTACTTCCTGACATCCCTGTGGCTTAACTATGTTTTTAATTTCCAGTTGTCCCTGTTCACAAATATCCTGTCCCTGTCTACCCTATCAATTCCCCTGAGTATTTTGTATGATATATCACCCCTGGTTCTCCTGTCCTCCAATGTCTTTAGATTCAATTTCCTTAGTCTCTCCTCATAGCTCATGCCTCTTAACTCAGTAACAAACTTTGCTGCGTACTTCTGCACTTTCTCCAGTTTCTTAGCATGCTTCCTCAGGTGTGGGTTCCATACTGGTGCTGCATACTTCAAGAAGGTACATGGTATACAAATGTAAATTACTTACAGCATTTTGGATAATATCACAGCTAACATTGTGATCAAGAATACAACAGTGTATGAGACAGAGATGGGACAACACTAAAATTTTTGCTAATACGTACTGATACCATCAAGACGAGCCAATATCCACTAACACAGATTCTCAACTTCAAGCCGATACTGATACCTACCAACTATTTGCATAAACAAAAAGAAATCTGGATACACGAATAATAAACACAAACAATGGTGTATCAGTATTATACTGCATGAAATTTATTTAACCCTTCAACGGTCCAGACAGATCGACGTTCAAATTCGTAGCTACAAAAGTAGATCTACTTTTTTTTACATATTTTCAAATATAACAAAAAAAAATGTAGATAAAAGTTTTTTTTACACGTTTTCACATGTAAAACAAAAAAAAAAAGATCTACATTTTTTACGTACTTTCAGATGTTGAAAAAACGTATATATATGTTTGGACCATTTAAGGGCTAATAAGAGATGAAAATAGCTTACAATAGTCATCTACGAGCTCAGGTGCATCCAAGACTTTCTCGGGAACATTAGGGATGTGTCGTGTGGATGCAGCTTTGGGTGCAGCTACCTTTCCTGCACTGTACAACACCTTGAGGTTATTTACGTGATCTGTGGAGAAAATATGGATCAGTTTGCATTATGGGGAAAACCTTTGGTTTCATCATTTTACCTGCTTACTAAAGACACATACAGTGGACCTCCGCATAACGATTACCTCCGAATGCGACCAATTATGTAAGTTTATTTATGTAAGTGCGTTTGTACGTGTATGTTTGGGGGTCTGAAATGGATTAATCTACTTCACAATATTCCTTATGGGAACAAATTCGGTCAGTACTGGCACCTGAACATACTTCTGGAGTGAAAAAATATCGTTAACCGGGGGTCCACTGTAATCCATAAATTAGAGTACAAGGTACTAATTACATTATAATAGCCTTCTTTACCTTTGATATGTTCTGAAAGTTTTTCTACTCTTAGATATATAAAATGTTGAGTTGATACAATCATAACAGCTTTAGAACTAGAGAAATAATGTATGAACAGGATATGAATATACTACCCAGTGTTGGTAGCAAATCCCCAGTTTGCTACCTGATCTGAGTCTCAACTGTCTCACATAGTGGAGATAAAAACCAAATTGTGTTTCAATCCATCCATCTTATTAGTCATGGTTTGCTTATAGTCTGGGATGGACTGTAACTCACAAATTGAATGACAATTTGTGGGTTAAGTGTGAATTGCTATAGCCACAGTACAGAAGGGCCCCTTTTACTGCTTCAGTCTTATGGGCCGTGGAGGCGTTGATCCCCGAAACCCTCTCCAGGTATACTCTAGGCATGGCTCCTAATAATCAAACCTAACCAATATTGATGAACGAAAAGAAAGGAAAGAGGGGTAGGGGTCGTCCTCGAAAGGGTTGGAAAGAGGGGGTAAAGGAGGTTTTGTGGGTGAGGGGCTTGGACTTCCAGCAAGCGTGCACGAGCGTGTTAGATAGGAGTGAATGGAGACGAATGATACTTGGGACCTGACGATCTGTTGGAGTGTGAGCAGGGTAATATTTAGTGAAGGGATTCAGGGAAACCGGTTATTTTCATATAGTCGGACTTGAGTCCTGGAAATGGGAAGTACAATGCCTGCACTTTAAAGGAGGGGTTTGGGATATTGGCAGTTTGGAGGGATATGTTGTGTATCTTTATACGTATATGCTTCTAAACTGTTGTATTCTGAGCACCTCTGCAAAAGCAGTGATAATGTGTGAGTGTGGTGAAAGTGTTGAATGATGATGAAAGTATTTTCTTTTTGGGGATTTTCTTTCTTTTTTTTTTTGGGGTCACCCTGCCTCGGTGGGAGACGACCGACTTGTTAAAAAAAAAAAAAAAAAAAAAAAAAAAAAAAAAATTGGAGTGAGTTAAACAAGTTAAGAAAGCCTAGGGAAAGTATGGATTTGTCAGTTAAAAACAGAGTAGGGGAGTTAGTAGATGGGGAGAGGGAGGTATTAGGTAGATGGCGAGAATATTTTGAGGAACATTTAAATGTTGAGGAAGAAAGGGAGGCGGTAATTTCATGCACTGGCCAGGGAGGTATACCATCTTTTAGGAGTGAAGAAGAGCAGAATGTAAGAGTGGGCGATGTACATGAGGCATTACGTAGAATGAAAGGGGGTAAAGCAGCTGGAACTGATGGGATCATGACAGAAATGTTAAAAGGAGGGGGGGATATAGTGTTGGAGTGGTTGGTACTTTTGTTTAATAAATGTATGAAAGAGGGGAAGGTACCTAGGGATTGGCAGAGAGCATGTATAGTCCCTTTATATAAAGGGAAAGAGGACAAAAGAGATTGTAAAAATTATAGAGGAATAAGTTTATTGAGTATACCAGGAAAAGTATACAGTAGGGTTATAATTGAAAGAATTAGAGGTAAGACAGAATGTAGGATTGCGGATGAGCAAGGAGGCTTCAGAGTGGGTAGGGGATGTGTAGATCAGGTGTTTACATTGAAGCATATATGTGAACAGTATTTAGATAAAGGTAGGGAAGTTTTCATTGCATTTATGGATTTAGAAAAGGCATATGATAGAGTGGATAGAGGAGCAATGTGGCAGATGTTGCAAGTATATGGAATAGGTGGTAAGTTACTAAATGCTGTAAAGAGTTTTTATGAGGATAGTGAGGCTCAGGTTAGGGTGTGTAGAAGAGAGGGAGAATACTTCCCGGAAAAAGTAGGTCTTAGACAGGGATGTGTAATGTCACCATGGTTGTTTAATATATTTATAGATGGGATTGTAAAAGAAGTAAATGCTAGGGTGTTCGGGAGAGGGGTGGGATTAAATTATGGGGAATCAAATTCAAAATGGGAATTGACACAGTTACTTTTTGCTGATGATACTGTGCTTATGGGAGATTCTAAAGAAAAATTGCAAAGGTTAGTGGATGAGTTTGAGAATGTGTGTAAAGGTAGAAAGTTGAAAGTGAACATAGAAAAGAGTAAGGTGATGAGGGTATCAAATGATTTAGATAAAGAAAAATTGGATATCAAATTGGGGAGGAGGAGTATGGAAGAAGTGAATGTTTTCAGATACTTGGGAGTTGACGTGTCGGCGGATGGATTTATGAAGGATGAGGTTAATCATAGAATTGATGAGGGAAAAAAGGTGAGTGGTGCGTTGAGGTATATGTGGAGTCAAAAAACGTTATCTATGGAGGCAAAGAAGGGAATGTATGAAAGTATAGTAGTACCAACATTCTTATATGGATGTGAAGCTTGGGTGGTAAATGCAGCAGCGAGGAGACGGTTGGAGGCAGTGGAGATGTCCTGTTTAAGGTGTAAATATTATGCAGAAAATTCGGAGTGTGGAAATTAGGAGAAGGTGTGGAGTTAATAAAAGCATTAGTCAGAGGGCAGAAGAGGGGTTGTTGAGGTGGTTTGGTCATTTAGAGAGAATGGATAAAAGTAGAATGACATGGAAAGCATATAAATCTATAGGGGAAGGAAGGAGGGGTAGGGGTCGTCCTCGAAAGGGTTGGAAAGAGGGGGTAAAGGAGGTTTTGTGGGCTAGGGGCTTGGACTTCCAGCAAGCGTGCATGAGCGTATTAGATAGGAGTGAATGGAGGCGAATGATACTTGGGACCTGACGATCTGTTGGAGTGTGACCAGGGTAATATTTAGTGAAGGGATTCAGGGAAACCGGTTATTTTCATATAGTCGGACTTGAGTCCTGGAAATGGGAAGTACAATGCCTGCACTTTAAAGGAGGGGTTTGGGATATTGGCAGTTTGGAGGGATATGTTGTGTATCTTTATACGTATATGCTTCTGAACTGTTGTATTCTGAGCACCTCTGCAAAAGCAGTGATAATGTGTGAGTGTGGTGAAAGTGTTGAATGATGATGAAAGTATTTTCTTTTTGGGGATTTTCTTTCTTTTTTGGGTCACCCTGCGTCGGTGGGAGACGGCCGACTTGTTGAAAAAAAAAAAAAAAAAAAATTCCAATAATGTACCTGTTTTAGTTTTTATTACAAACCTTCTCTAGGGTTATTAAATCAAAACATTTCATATAGAAGGGAAAACAAATGCCTCTGTTTAAATCTCATAACTTGGTAAAATGCATAAAAATCACGCATGACTAGCCATTGTCATTTTCATTTTACATCCATAATCAAACTTTCTTTGCTTTGTCGCTGTCTATATACATCTCACAAGTCTTTGGTTGTACTACAGTCACTAAATCATTATTTATTTTTAACACACCAGCCGTCTGCCACTGAGACCGGGCGACACAAGAAGAAGAAACATTTTCACCATCAGTCACCCCATCATCGTCTTGTCAGAGGTGTGCCGATACCAGTTCAAAAACTGCAAATATCCCCATCCCTTCTTCAGAGTGCAGACACTGTACTTCCCACCTCCAGGACTCAAGACCAACTAACTGGTTTCCCTGAATTCCTTCATAAATGTTACCTTACTCACACTCCAACAGCACAAGAAGTCTTAAAAGCTCCTTGCCTCCACTCACTAATGTCTAACAGGCTCTCACATACTTCCTCCTCACAAATACTTTTACTCACTAGGAAACAAATCACATCCCTAAAGTATTTTGAGCAATAATTTACAAGAGCCAGCTACTACTTAAGCTTCATTGGAACCAGGGTATTGATCATAATAAATTAAAACAACTTGCCTAACGCCTCGGTGGGATACGGCCGGTGTGTTGAAAGAAAGAACTTGCCTAACAATGATTTACGATAATTCACCACAATGGTTTTAAAAATTTATTCTCCCAATCTAAAATACTTAAAGATGTGTCAGATAAGTAATAGGTGCAGAAAAACCCACTTTTAAACATGAAAGTGAGAGATGTAGTATATCCTTGCTAGAGGCCCTCACTAGCAGATCTAACTCCATTATTTAATTTAATACAGGACCTCTATGTATCTTCTTGTACAAGGTATTCTTCGACATCCCTCGTTTCAGTCTCTCACTATGCAAAAATGCAATCCCCAAAGATCTGGAATTCACTACCTGAACGGGTATAGGATCCCCTGGCTACATACATATTTAGGGCTATGCTTAAAAATCATACACAAATATCGTTCCAGTCACGGTATTGTGCCTTTTTTTGTTACTTAAAAATCATCTCATCTCTAAATACTAACCAAAACAACTTGTAATCAGTTTGAAGCAACTCTCCCAATTATTATACGACTCTAGTCTATTAAAACATCTGCCAATCCATAAAATATTAATGTTTGAACCATGGTATTATTATTTTTATTATGTGCAACTCCAAGATAATTATTCTTATAAGCCTCCACCTTGACTACCTCACATTAATATTGATAAAACAAAGATTTATTAAAAAGTTAACCATTCTGATCTTGTCTAGACTCAAGTAGTTATTATGTACTAGGATTAGTCTGCCTGAAATATCCCAGCATGACAGTGACTTTCTTTGTACTTAACAAATCAAAATCGTAATTAAACATTGCAACTTTTGAAAAGAAATAATCTTTATTCTTTATTTAGTATACTCCATTGGAAGTTGGGAAGAAGTCTTACTCTGTAAGCCATGTGTGTTGTAAAAGTCTTACTCTGTAAGCCATGTGTGTTGTAAAAGTCTTACTCTGTAAGCCATGTGTGTTGTAAAAGTCTTACTCTGTAAGCCATGTGTGTTGTAAAAGTCTTACTCTGTAAGCCATGTGTGTTGTAAAAGTCTTACTCTGTAAGCCATGTGTGTTGTAAAAGTCTTACTCTGTAAGAAATGTGTGTTGTAAAAGTCTTACTCTGTAAGCCATGTGTGTTGTAAAAGTCTTACTCTGTAAGCCATGTGTGTTGTAAAAGTCTTACTCTGTAAGCCATGTGTGTTGTAAAAGTCTTACTCTGTAAGCCATGTGTGTTGTGAAAGTCTTACTCTGTAAGCCATGTGTGTTGTGAAAGTCTTACTCTGTAAGCCATGTGTGTTGTAAAAGTCTTACTCTGTAAGCCATGTGTGTTGTAAAAGTCTTACTCTGTAAGCCATGTGTGTTGTAAAAGTCTTACTCTGTAAGCCATGTGTGTTGTAAAAGTCTTACTCTGTAAGCCATGTGTGTTGTAAAAGTCTTACTCTGTAAGCCATTTGTGTTGTAAAAGTCTTACTCTGTAAGCCATTTGTGTTGTAAAAGGAGACTAAAATGTCAGGACGAAAGGGCTAGTAACCCCTTTTGTATAAATTACTAAACGTAAAAAAAAAAAAAATCTCAGTGGGAGACGGCAGCATGTTAAAAATATACATGTATATTCATTACAGTGTAAAGAAGAATGGCATTAACAAAGTAGTGTTAAGTATTCTGTGAATTATGAAACAACAATACTAGTCCACTTGCCTTCCTTTGCTTGAGGTGCCTTACTCTTGAAGGATAATATTCTAATCTTTGGTGGTTGGCCATCATTAAGATTCTCAGTCATCTTTTCCTGGTATTCTTTCTGCAAAGTTTTTAATACCACATCAAAAAATATCAGTCTATAAAAATATATTTTAATGCATTCATGCATAAGTTAAGAACATAAGAAAGAAGGAACACTGCAACGGGTTTACTGATCCATGCGGAGCAGGTCCATGTCCCCCCCCCCCGGATTAGCCCAATGACCCACCCAGTCTGGCCACCTCCACTCAAGGAAGGAGCACGGCACCAGACCCAGCAGCACAAGCTAGTCAGGTCCAACTCACACCCATCCACACCCACTCATGTATTTATCTAACCTGTTTTTAAAACTACACAACGTTTTAGCCTCTATAACTGTACTCGGGAGTTTGTTCCACTCATCCACATCTCTATTACCAAACCAGTACTTTCCTATATCCTTCCTAAATCTGAATTTTTCCAACTTGAAACCATTGCTGCGAGTCCTGTCTTGGCTGGAAATTTTCAGCGCGCTATTTACATCCCCTTTATTTATTCGTTTTCCATTTATACACCTCGATCATATCCCCCCCTAATTCTACGCCTTTCAAGAGAGTGCAGATTCAGGGCCTCAGTCTATCCTCATACGGAAGGTTTCTGATACATGGGATCATCTTTGTCATCCTCCTCTGTACGTTTTCCAGAGCATTTATATCCATTCTGTAATACGGTGACCAGAACTGAGCAGCATAGTCTAAATGAGGCCTAACCAAGGATATATATAGTTGAAGAACAACCTGAGGACTTCTATTATTTATACTTCTAGATATGAAGCCAAGAATTCTGTTAGCTTTATTGTGAACACTAATGCACTGTTGTCTTGGTTTTTGATTAGTGCTAACCAGAACTACTAAATCCTTTTCGCAATCAGTAGTATTAAGATCTACATTATTTAGTTCATATGTGGCATGGTTATTTACCTGTCCAACATTTAGAGCTTTGCATTTGTCAATATTAAACTGTATCTGCCACTTCTCCGACCATTGCATCAGTCTATTCAAATCATCCTGGAATGCTCTAGTGTCCTCATTAGAATGAATTGGACGGCCTATTTTGGTGTCATCAGCAAATTTGCTTATGTCGCTATTTATTCCCTCATCTATGTCGTTTATGTAAATTGCGAACAACAACGGGCTCAACACTGACCCCTGAGGAACACCGCTTGTGACGTGCCCCCATTCTGATTTCTCCCCATTTATGCAAACTCTCTGCTGCCTATTTGTCAGCCATGCCTCTACCCAGGAAAAAATTTCTCCTCCTATTCCGTGTGCCTTAAGTTTCCTCAATAGCCTCTGGTGTGGAACTTTACTGAAAGCCTTATTGAAGTCCATATACACTATCACAAATGACTGAAAAAATAAGTCTAACATCTGTTATGGATATTACAGTTTAGTAGGTCAATATTATATAGTGGTACCTCGAGTTACGAACTTAATTTGTTCCAGAAGGTTGAGTGCCGATACTGAACGAATTTGTTCCCACAGGGAATAATGTAAATTAGATTAGTCTGTTTCAGACCCCCAAAAATACACTTACGAAAGCACTTACAAAAAAAATACTTACATAATTGTTCGAGCTGGGAGTGTTCGAAACTCAAGGTACCACTGTGCCGTGATGTCTTTGTCTTTCAAAGATAGTTAAAAAAAAGTTAGGGTTAGTGTTTTTTTCCTCTGGGTTACCCTACTTTCTTGAGAAAAGACCAGTGCTTCAGTAAAACAAATGAAGATAATAAGGAAGCACTTGCAAGTATATCGTAAGCAAGAATGCATTAAGCCATCCAATAGATGACACTAGAAGCATTCTCCGTATCATCCTAGGAATGATTCAAGCATCCATCATGCACTTCTACGGTTTATACAATCATCCTTCAAACTATCCTATGGTTGAAGCAATCATCCTTTTCACAAAGCTGAATCCTACCTGTACTATCAATGCTATGCTTCTCCCATTAATCTTAAGACTATTCACCATACAACAACTAGCAACTATCTCGAACTACTTAAAACAGTGACCAGAAAATAGACATCAAATTTTTCAAATACCTAAAAAACTGACATATACATAAGACCCTCGCACATTATGAATTTTTAGTGTACCAATAAATATTAATTCTTACCATAACCAAAAAGGGTTATGTTAATATTAGCTCTAAAACATTTGAAAAAAATAAAAAATAAAAAAATTTCCTGATTTTTATACTGGACTTTTTATACGACATTTACAAGAAAATTCACAGCTCAGATATACAGTGGACCCCCGGTTAACGAACTTTTTTCTTTCCAGTAGTATGTTCAGGTGCCAGTACTGACCGAATTTTTTCCCATAAGGAATATTGTGAAGTAGATTAGTCCATTTCAGACCCCCAAACATACACGTACAAACGCACTTACATAAATACACTTACATAATTGGTCGCATTTGGAGGTGATCGTTAAGCGGGGGTCCACTGTACTCTGGGCCACAGAGTTTGTAAGAAAAAAAATAAAAAGAAAGGCTGGCAATCCTACCAGTGGGCAAAATATTTGCAAGGCTTCTGTGTCATACTTGTGTGATAGGTTTACCTGGAGAGGGTTTCGGGGGTCAACGCCCCCGCGGTCCGGTCTGAAACCAGACCTCGTGGGTTGGTAGCATTTACACAGCTGATTCCTCTCAACTGACCTACTGTTCTATTTGGTGTTAAAAATAAATCAGTTACATAGCAAATATTTATATAAAAGATAATGAAAATACAGTCCATGCAATGTAAAAAATCATTATTTTTTTTAATTAACAAAGTGGCCAATTTCCGCCAAGGCAGGGTGACCCCAAAAAAAGAAGAAACACTTTCATCATCACTCACTCCATCACTGTCTTGCCAGATGCATGCCAACATAACAATTAAATATAAAATCACTTTCGCAGCTACAAGACTACAGGAAGCAAAGATGAGCCAACCTGTTGGAGTGACAATTCGTCATCATCGCTTTGCTTTTCCCCTCCAGAAGCCTCCATACTGGTTACCAACAGGTGGTGTGATCGCTCCACATCTGTCGTGCTGCGGTTGGGGATAAATCTGAAAAATTTGTAATATCTTTCATGGCATTTGCAATCCTACAATGATGTACTTATCTACTTTGTGCCCTATTTTCAGCCAATTCCTTTGTTCTAGTCGACCAAACTCATAGCTATTTCACTAGTATTCCTTCTATTCTATCAAGTGAGCACAAGAAATCACCAATTTACCTATTTCAACTACCCAATAAAGTGATCAGAATTCGGTAATTTGGCCAATTTCTCACAAAATTCAAAACTTGCTAATTTCAAAATAGGATGCAAAATAAACAATGTAGACATTCCTGACACTAAAACAACATTTCCTCTTTTCATTAGTCATGTCCTGAGGCCTCTTCTATATTACGCTTGCTTTCCATTCTGAATTTTTATTCGCATAAAAAAATTATTGTTACTGTTATGCAGACCACTACATTATTGTAATAATTGTATAAATAATGTCACCGCATTTGTGGAAACTCATTAGACAGACCAGTTGACACATATTGGATGAGTGACGTAATTTGCGTACTTTGGAATATCGAAAACTTCCACTACTTTGAGTTCAATTTCAAGCTACTTTCAGTCCTGAAACAAATCTAAATCATCTCTATTTCTATAACATATATTCCCTTCTATCAATTGAAACCAAGAAACCGAGAATAAAACAATAAAAACCATATGAAAATATGTACACCGCAAAGTCGCTGTTTTAAACCAACAACACTGTCGCAGTTATTTTCCCCATTATGCACTGCTTGTTGTAGGATTTTTTAATATGGTGTACATTTATTGCATAGACCTATTCTCTCATATCTAGGCCCAAATTTACCGCTCACAGCTTATCTGAGTGAGCTGAGCTCATGGCGTAGAACAATAGGACTGACCCGTGCTTTAAAGCTGTACTACAACAGGACCCACCCCGAAAGGGATAAGCGAGGCCCTCCTATAGTGGTAATGAAATGTTTACAAGCTTATATCTGGTTACAATTGTAAGAGTTATTTATGCAGACATGAATTAGGTCTCTCACACACACAGAAAATGCTTAAACAGGTTTCACACAACAAGTTTTTTACATGTACAGTAGTTCATCTATTATCTAGCCGCTATGGAGGGAGATGAAGGAGAAAGATTCACCACATTTCTACATCTTTTTATTGTCCCTGTTTTCTACATTTCTCTTTTTTTGCAGTGTTGGTTTCGGTGCCAAAATGAACAAGACTGCCAGACAAAGTTGGAAGTCTAATAACCAATCATCACATAAAAGATGGTCCAATGTATTATAATTCTATTAACTGACCTGTCCTGCTGGTTGAGTGGAGTCGAGGGCGTCTTGCGGCTGGGTGTTTTTTGTCCTGGACCTCGTATTGACAGCTTGGGAATTGCACGTCCAGGGGATTTACCTCTGCCTGACATATATAATCTTTGTGAACCCAACCAATACAACAAAATCATTTAAAAAACCACACAAAAGTCCTATATCACAGAAATGGGAAGGAATTTGGTCACATATTACAACAAAATCTTTAAAAACCATGTATTAGAGACATTGAGACTCATCTACTTGCAAACTAAATGTGGGAGAAATATGCTCAGCAAAGCTATATGGTGGACATTAATAATTTAATTACAGTATACAAATAAATTTTATAACTGTCAATTTCACTACATTGTTAATATTCAAACTACAATTTTAGCTGAATGGTTAACTTACAAATATTACGTGCTTGATAAGGAAAAATAAAACATGATTTACAGTAGATAGGGAAATTTAAACTACCGATTGCAGTGCTATACTTGAATTATCTACTACATTGCAACATGCTACCATTTATTTTTACTAAGTACATCAATATTTACCTGGAGACTTACCCCTACCAGGGCTTTTATCTACGAAGGAGCCACTGTGTGGAGTTTTAGCTGACCATGGACTGCTTACTCCAGATATATTTAAAAGTCCTGCAGATGCTTTCAAAAAGGAATTATTATTATTATGGGGGAGTGCTAGACCCACAGGGATTATACAGCACCTATTGGGGGAAATGGAAGGCCTTCAGGCTCAATTTAGGAAACTGGAGCACAGATCCAATTTCCTAGATGAAGAGCCCTCACCAGCATGAAGGAACCTACCTTCTGGGATTTGAAAAGGGAAGAAAAATGCTTTCAACATATAACGGGAAAACACTTTGCAATATGCAATGCAAAAGTTGTAAAGTAAAAGGACACAAGTGCAACTAATGTGATATTTTATTGTGGCACTTGTGTCCTTTTACTTTACATACTGTCGGTAATTCTACCAACATATATACAATGCAAAAGTTGTAAATTAAAGTATGATTATAGGTACTGAGACTAACACGCAGCCCTCCACAACACTTCTGCACTAAACACAGTCATGGATGTCCCGTGGTGTGCATATTTTTCATGTGGTTTGTTTCTCTTGTCACCCGTTTCCATTACGTGACACCTATTGTAAGCTTTCTAGAAATGTAGATTAACCCTTTGACTGTCGCAACCCCCAATCCTGAGGTGTCTCCTGGTGTCGCAAAATTTAAAAAAAAAAAAAAAATTATTTTTTCTTATAAAATGATAGAGAATCTTTTCCCGATTGTAATGACGCCAAACAAACGAAATTTGATGGAAAACTGACGGAATTATGCTCTCGCAAAGTTAATGACCTCGGCGCTGTTTACAAATCGGCGATTTCGCCCACTTTGAGCCCTATTTTCGGCTAATTCCATTGTTCCAGTTGCCCAAACTCATAGCTATTTCTTTAGAACTCCATTTTTTCTATCGATTGAGTACAAGAAACTGACCATTTACCGATTTCAACTACCTAATAATGTGGTCAGAAATTTGTAATTTGGCCAATTTCACGAAAACTAAAAAATATGACAATTTCAAAATAAGGTCCAGAATGAACAATGCAGACATTCCTGGCTCTAAAATAACATTTTCTTTGCTCATCAGTCATGTCTCCAGGCCCCTCTGATATTACTCTTGCTTTCTATTTTGAATTTTTATTCAAACAAAAAATTGAAGACTTACTATTATGCAGACTACTGCAATACTGTAATAATTGTATAAATAACATCAACCCATTCATGACTGCATATTAGAATGGCTAGTTGGACATTTATTGGAAATTGGCATCATTTGTTTACTTTTGAACATTGGCAAAAATCAATCATTTCCTCTACTTTGAGCTCCATTTCTAGGTTCTTTTTATAGTAAAATCAATCAAAATCACCTCTATTTCTATAATATGTTTTCCATTCTATAAAATGAGACCAAGAAAACGAGAATACAACCATAAATACTATACGAAAATAGACCACAAAGTCGGCATTTTAATTAAAAAAAACGGTCGGAGTTTTTTTTTCCTCATTATGCACTGTGTGCTCCAGGAATTTTTTTATATGGTGCACACTGACCACACAGACCCATTCTCTCACATGTGGGCCTACCAGCTTTCTCCTGCTTGATTTGAAGCCGCTAGAATTTATGAGTATATATACGTCAAACACGGTACCTCGTAAGACATATATATACGGCCGCGACAGTCAAAGGGTTAAATTCAATCCACCCACATATTTCTTTCTTAGGCATCGTGTGTGTTATAGCAGTTTAATAGATTTGGAAACCTCGAATGTACTGACCAAAAATTTAATTGTTAATTGGAAAAATCTTTGCTCTACAAATGAGGCTCATTTAACTGTAGAATTTGTTATTAAGGTTTGAGGTTTATTAATTAGAATTTGTTCTTAAGGTTTGAGGCTTATTAATTTAGAATTTGTTCTTAAGGTTTGAGGCTTATTAATTAGAATTTATTCTCGAGGTTTGAGGCTTATTCAACTTCAGAATTTGTTCTTAAGGTTTGAGGTTTGTTCTATGAATTTTGAGAGATGCTCCCAAACTTTATTCACTGTTGCTCAAAAATTCATGAAAGCAAAAAGAAAAACTTTAAGATTCTTTCAAATTTGAAAAAATAGCGCATGTCAGTGACAAACATACCATTCTCAGAAATGGAGAGTGACTGCAACCCTTGTTCTAGTGCCTTCCGCTGCCACCGAGGTGGAGGACCTCGTGTCAACTCCCCATCCATCCTCACCGCTTCGATCAGGTTAGCCTCAAACTGCAGGTGGGACATGTTTTTGCTGGGCAATAAAAGTGCAATCCTCGTAAGCGGCTAACCCGATGTAATATCTGTAATAAATGAAACTCATGAAAAATAAAAAGGCACAATACCACAAGTGGAACAATACACAATACACGTAAGAGAATGTAACTTATGTTGTTTTAACCCTTAAACTGTCCAAACGTAGATCTACGTCTTCACGCGTAGCGCTCTGACCTTGATTTTCCCCATAAGAAAGAATGTAGAAAAAACGTAGATCTACGTTCAGAGCACTACACAAACGAACGTAGATCTACGTTCAGAGCACTACACAAACGAACGTAGATCTACGTTCAGAGCACTACACAAACGAACGTAGATCTACGTTTGGACAGTTTAAGGATTAACCCAACCTGGACCATTAACTAGTCACAGTGTGACTAGTTAACCCTTAAACTGTCCAAACGTAGATCTACGCTTTTCAACATTTGAAAGTATGTAAAAAAAAGTAATTTTTTTTTTTTTACATTTGAAAAAGTGTAAAAAACTTATCTACATTTTTTTTATTTGAAAATATGTAAAAAAAACGTAGACCTACTTTTGGAGCACTACAGATGTGAACGTCAATCTGTTTGGACAGTTTAAGGGATAATAAATGATCCAAGTGGAACTGAAATATAAACTTTCACCTATGAGCGGGTTATCTGTGTATTATTAAAATCATGGGGGAGCGCTAAACCCGTAGGACTACACAGCACATGTGGCGGGGGATAGCAGGCATTTAGGCTAAATAAAGGGAACTGGAGCACAGATCCAATTCCCAAGATCAAGAGCCCCTTACCAGCATCAAGGAACCTACCATGAGGGACCTAGATCAAGAGCCCCTCACCAGCATCAAGGAACCTACCATGAGGGACCTAGAACAAGAACCCCTCATCAGCATCAAGGAACCTACCTTGAGGGACCTAGATCAAGAGCCCCTCACCAGCATCAAGGAACCTACCTTGAGGGACCTAGATCAAGAGCCCCTCACCAGAATCAATGAACTTACCTTGAGGGACCTAGATAAAGAACCCCTCATCAGCATCAAGGAACCTACTTCGAGGGACCTAGATCAAGAGCCCCTCACCAGCATCAGACCCTACCTTGAGGGACCTAGATCGAGCCCCTCACCAGCATCAAGGAGCCTACCTTGAGGGACCTAGATCGAGCCCCTCACCAGCATCAAGGAACCTACCTTGAGGGACCTAGATCAAGAGCCCCTCACCAGCATCAAGGACCCTACCTTGAACCTAGATCAAGAGCCCTTCACCAGCATCAAGGACCCTACCTTGAACCTAGATCAAGAGCCCCTCACCAGCATCAAGGAACCTACCTTGAGGGACCTAGATCAAGAGCCCCTCACCAGCATCAAGGAACCTACCTTGTGAGAACTATATCAAGAGCCCCTCACCAGCATCAAGGACCCTACCTTGAGGAACCTAGATCAAGAGCCCCTCACCAGCATCAAGGAACCTACCTTGAGGGACCTAGATCAAGAACCCCTCACCAGCATCAATGAACCTACCTTGAGGGACCTAGATCAAGAGCCCCTCAACAACATCAAGGACCCTACCTTGAGGGACCTAGATCAAGAGCCCCTCACCAGCATCAAGGACCCTACCTTGAGGGACCTAGATCAAGATCCCCTCACCAGCATCAAGGACCCTACCTTGAGGGACCTAGATCAAGAGCCCCTCACCAGCATCAAGGACCCTACCTTGAGGGACCTAGATCAAGAGCCCCTCACCAGCATCAATGAACCTACCTTAAGGGACCTAGATCAAGAGCCCCTCACCAGCATCAAGGACCCTACCTTGACTGGGGTTATATGTAAAACTCATCAATAACAATTTTTTAACTATAAGAGTTACTGTTGTTGGATTATTAATATTAATTATTAATAATAATAATAATAACTGTACTTAAACTTACGATCCTTCGTTTATAATAAAGGGGGAGCGTTAAACCCGTATGATTATGCAGCGCCTGGGGGGAGGTCCATAAACCCTCACTCAAACTATTGTAAATATTTACACAATTACTGTTGTGTAAAACAATCACAATCATCCATAAATTATAACTAAATAATCATCATACGTCAGGTTTATACTTAAACCTCGACTATAATGGTTTAAATAAACCACAAACTACCATTCAAACTATTGTAAATATTAACAAACCTCTTGTTATATAACACAATCAGAATAAACCAAAAACTGTGTTCAAGTGAAGGTAATTCCAGATAATAACGTAGGAGAGGCAGCAGAGCAACTGTTTAAATGATCCTCCATCAACCTTCACCAGCTGTTGTAAACAATCAACTCAAAACCTATTATAACTTTAAAAATTATTATTTATTAAAAATTGTACTGTAGGTTGCTTTATGTTGTTTATTTATTATCTCTAACTTAGGAACTTTTAGTTTATATATTTTATAAATTGCTCTTAAGTGGGGAGGGTAATTTATTGTGATGCTCGCTTGATGTTCGCGGGAAATTCAAAATATTAGAAATTCATGTTATTGTTTTATGGTTAAATAATATTTAAAGAAACATATACACTATAATTAAATAAAGGTTATGAAAGCAAAGACAACACTGCATAAATCTTCCAAATGTCAAGACTGATGGACTAAACACTTCGACTCAAGGCTGATGACCTCAAACTGGACTGGTGTGGGTCACATCCTGGGTGTTAGTGGACTGGTGTGGGTCACATCCTGGGTGTTAGTGGACTGGTGTGAGTCACATCCTGAGTGTTGGTGAACTGATGTGGGTCACATCCTGGGTGTTAGTGGACTGGTGTGGGTCACATCCTGGGTGTTAGTGGACTGGTGTGGGTCACATCCTGGGTGTTAGTGGGCTGGTGTGGGTCACATCTTGGGTGTTAGTGGACTGGTGTGGGTCACATCCTGGGTGTTAGTGGACTGGTGTGAGTCACATCCTGGGTGTTAGTGGACTGGTGTGGGTCACATCCTGGGTGTTAGTGGGCTGGTGTGGGTCACATCCTGGGTGTTAGTGGGCTGGTGTGGGTCACATCCTGGGTGTTAGTGGGCTGGTGTGGGTCACATCCTGGGTGTTAGTGGGCTGGTGTGGGTCACATCCTGGGTGTTAGTGGACTGGTGTGGGTCACATCCTGGGTGTTAGTGGACTGGTGTGGGTCACATCCTGGGTGTTAGTGGACTGGTGTGAGTCACATCCTGAGTGTTGGTGAACTGATGTGGGTCACATCCTGGGTGTTAGTGGACTGGTGTGGGTCACATCCTGGGTGTTAGTGGGCTGGTGTGGGTCACATCCTGGGTGTTAGTGGACTGGTGTGGGTCACATCCTGGGTGTTAGTGGACTGGTGTGGGTCACATCCTGGGTGTTAGTGGGCTGGTGTGGGTCACATCCTGGGTGTTAGTGGACTGGTGTGGGTCACATCCTGGGTGTTAGTGGGCTGGTGTGGGTCACATCCTGGGTGTTAGTGGACTGGTGTGACCGTGTGGGTCACATCCTGAGTGTTAGTGGCCTGCATATCGCAGTCACTTATTTGCACAGAACTGCTAAATGCCTCAAATGATGTAGTTGAAGTTTTAGCAGTAAAGATCGAGAACCAAAATCTGGTCATTGTGGTAGTCTACAAGCCTCCGGATGCAACGTCCCAACAATTCCAGGAACAGTTGTTGAAAATTGACCACTGTCTGGTAAATCTGCCAGCTCCTGCACCCAACATCTTGCTCCTGGGGGAATTCAACTTAAGGCACCTAAAATGGAGGAAAATAGCAAATAATGTTGTTGCAGTAATAACACCAGGAGGCAGCTCTGATGAAAACTCACACACACTCGAGCTTTTAAATCTCTGCACCAAATTCAACTTAAACCAGCAAATAATAGAGCCTACTAGACTGGAGAATACACTAGACCTCATCTTCACTAACAATGATCTGATACGAAATGTCACCATATCAAAAACAATATACTCAGATCACAACATAATTGAGGTTCAGTCATGTATGCGCGGAGCCCCAGACCGACATAATGAGATTAGTCATGAGGGAGCATTCACCAAATTCAACTTCAATAATAAGAACATAAAGTGGGACCAAGTAAACCAAGTCCTAACCGATATAAGCTGGGAAGATATACTAAGCAACACAGACCCCAACTTATGCCTAGAACAGATTAACTCGGTGGCACTCGATGTATGCACAAGGCTTATTCCTTTAAGAAAAAGGAGGAGTAGATGTAAAATAGAAAGAGACAGGCGCTCCCTTTACAGGCGACGGAAAAGAATAACAGAGCGGCTAAAAGAGGCCAATATATCTGAAATGCATAGAGAGTCACTGGTCAGAGAAATAGCAAACATCGAACTTAAGCTAAAGGAATCTTATAGGAGTCAGGAATCGCGGGAAGAACTAAAAGCCAAAAATGAAATCGAAAGAAACCCAAAATATTTCTTTTCTTATGCCAAATCAAAGTCGAGAACAACATCCAGTATTGGGCCCCTACTTATACAAGATGGTTCCTACACAGATGACAGCAAGGAAATGAGCGAGCTACTCAAGTCCCAATATGACTTAGTTTTTAGCAAGCCGCTAACCAGACTGAGAGTCGAAGATCTAAATGAAATTTTTATGAGAGAGCCACAGAATTTGGTAAACACAAGCCTGTCTGACGTTATCCTGACGCCAAATGGCTTCGAAAAGGCGATAAATGACATGCCCATGCACTCTGCCCCAGGGCCAGACTCATGGAACTCCGTGTTCATCAAGAACTGCAAGAAGCCCCTATCACGAGCTTTTACCATCCTATGGAGAGGGAGCATGGACACGGGGGTCGTCCCACAGTTACTAAAAACAACAGACATAGCCCCACTCCACAAAGGTGGCAGTAAAGCAATAACAAAGAACTACAGACCGATAGCACTAACATCCCATATCATAAAAATCTTTGAAAGGGTCCTAAGAAGCAAAATCGCCACCCATCTAGAAACCCATCAATTACACAACCTAGGGCAACATGGGTTTAGAGCAGGTCGCTCCTGTCTGTCTCAACTACTGGACCACTACGACAAGGTCCTAGATGCACTAGAAGACAAAAATAATGCAGATGTAATATACACAGACTTTGTAAAAGCCTTCGACAAGTGTGACCATGGCGTAATAGCGCACAAAATGCGTGCTAAAGGAATAACAGGAAAAGTTGGTAGATGGATCTATAATTTCCTGACAAACAGAACACAAACAGTAGTAGTCAACAGAGTCAAGTCTGAGGCGGCTACGGTGAAAAGCTCTGTTCCACAAGGCACAGTACTCGCTCCCATCTTATTTCTCATCCTCATATCTGACATAGACAAGGATGTCACCCACAGCACCGTGTCTTCCTTTGCAGATGACACCCGAATCTGCATGACAGTGTCTTCCACTGCAGACACTGCAAGGCTCCAGGCAGACATTGCAGACACTGCAAGGCTCCAGGGGGACATCAACCAAATCTTTCAGTGGGCTGCAGAAAACAATATGAAGTTCAACGATGAGAAATTTCAATTACTCCGATATGGTAAACGTGAGGAAATTAAAACTTCATCGGAGTATAGGACAAATTTCAACCACAAAATAGAGCGAAAAACTAACGTCAAAGACCTGGGAGTGATCATGTCAGAGGATCTCACCTTCAAGGACCATAACATTGTATCAATCGCATCTGCTAGAAAAATGACAGGATGGATAATGAGACCTTTCAAAACTAGGGAGGCCAAGCCCATGATGACACTCTTCAGGTCACTTGTTCTATCTAGGCTGGAATATTGCTGCACACTAACAGCACCTTTCAAGGCAGGTGAAATTGCTGACCTAGAAAATGTACAGAGAACTTTCACGGCTAATATAACTGCGATAAAACACCTCAATTACTGGGAACGCTTGAAGTTCCTGAACCTGTACTCCTTGGAATGCAGGCGTGAGAGATACATGATTATATACATATGGAAAATTCTAGAGGGACTAGTACCAAACCTACGCACGAAAATCACTCCCTACGAAAGCAAAAGACTCTGCAGGAGATGCAACATTCCCCTAATGAAAAGCAGGGGCGCCACGAGTACACTGAGGGACAACACAACAAGTGTCAGGGGCCCAAGACTGTTCAACTGCCTCCAAGCATACATAAAGGGGATTACCAATAGACCTATGGCTGTCTTCATGAGCCCTGGCTGTCTTCAAGACTACTGGCTGTCTTCAAGACCCCTGGCTGTCTTTAAGACCCCTGGTTGTCTTCAAGACCCCTGGTTGTCTTCAAGACTCCTGGTTGTCTTCAAGACCCTTGGTTTTCTTCAAGACTCCTGGTTGTCTTCAAGACCCCTGGTTGTCTTCAAGATCCTGGTTGTCTTCAAGACTCCTGGTTGTCTTCAAGACTCCTGGTTGTCTTCAAGACCCCTAGTTGTCTTCAAGACCCCTGGTTGTCTTCAAGACTCCTGGTTGTCTTCAAGACCTCTGGTTGTCTTCAAAGCCCTGGTTGTCTTCAAGACTCCTGGTTGTCTTAAAGACCCCTGGCTGTCTTCAAGGCTCCTGACTGTCTTCAAGAAACCTGGCTCTCTTCAGGACCCCTGGCTGTCTTCAGGACCCCTGGTTGTCTTCAAGACTCCTGGTTGTCTTAAAGACCCCTGGCTGTCTTCAAAGCCCCTGGCTGTCTTCAAGAAACCTGGCTGTTTTCAAGACCCATGGTTGTCTTCAAGACCCCTGGTTATCTTCAAGACCTCTGGCTGTCTTCAAGACTCCTGGCTGTCTTCAGGACCCTTGGCTGTCTTCAGGACCCCGAGCTGTCTTCAGGACCCCGGGCTGTCTTCAGGACCCCGGGCTGTCTTCAAAACCCCTGGTTGTCTTCAGGACCCCTGGTTGTCTTCAGGACCCCTGGTTGTCTTCAGGACCGCTGGTTGTCTTCAAGACCCCTGGTTATCTTCAAGACCTCTGGCTATCTTCAAGACCCCTGGCTGTCTTCAGGACCCCTGGCTGTCTTCAGGACCTCTGGCTGTCTTCAGGACCCCGGGCTGTCTTCAGGACCCCGGGCTGTCTTCAAAACCCCTGGTTGTCTTCAGGACCCCTGACTGTCTTCAGGACCGCTGGTTGCCTTCAAGACCCCTGGCTGTCTTCGGAACCCCTGGCTGTCTTCAAGACCCCTGGCTGTCTTTAAGACCCCTGACTGTCTTCAGGACCCCTGGCTGTCTTCAGGGCCCCTGGCTGTCTTCAGGACCCCGGGCTGTCTTCAGGACCCCGGGCTGTTTTCAAAACCCCTGGTTGTCTTCAGGACGCCTGGCTGTCTTCAGAACCCCTGGCTGTCTTCAAGACCCCTGGCTGTCTTTAAGACCCCTGAATGTCTTCAGGACCCCTGGCTGTCTTCAGGGCCCCTGGCTGTCTTCAGGGCCCCTGGCTGTCTTCAGGACCCCTGGATGTCTTGAAGACCCCTGGCTGTCTTCAAGACACCTGGCTGTCTTTAAGACCCCTGACTGTCTTCAGGACCCCTGGCTGTCTTCAGGACCCCTGGCTGTCTTCAGGGCCCCTGGCTGTCTTCAGGACCCCTGGCTGTCTGTAAGACCCCTGACTGTCTTCAGGACCCCTGACTGTCTTCAGGACCCCTGGCTGTCTTCAGGACCCCTGGCTGTCTGTAAGACCCCTGACTGTCTTCAGGACCCCTGACTGTCTTCAGGACCCCTGACTGTCTTCAGGACCCCTGGCTGTCTTCAGGGCCCCTGACTGTCTTCAGGACCCCTGACTGTCTTCAGGACCCCTGGCTGTCTTCAGGGCCCCTGACTGTCTTCAGGACCCCTGGCTGTCTGTAAGACCCCTGACTGTCTTCAGGACCCCTGACTGTCTTCAGGACCCCTGGCTGTCTTCAGGACCCCTGGCTGTCTTGAAGACCCCTGGCTGTCGTCAAGAGGGCACTGGACAGGCACCTAAAGTCAGTACCTAAACAATCGGGATGTGGTTCGTACGTCAATTTGCGTGCGTCCAGCAGTAACAACCTGGTTGATCAGACCCTGATCCACCATGAGGCCTGGTCTCAGACCGGGCCGCGGGGGAGTTGACCCCCGAAACCCTCTCCAGGTAAACACCAAAGTGACTGTATGTCTGGAATTGTTTCTATGTTTTTTCCTGTAATTAATGAAATAATTGAAAAATATAATAATATTTATAACGTAATGTATAGTGTTTATGTGACTTTTAAAAGATGTTATGCCATAGAGGACCCAACATCCCCTATAATTTATTCTTTTTAATGGTAATCAGTTAACTAAGTAAAACATACTTTTTATAAAGTTGAAAAGAAATTATTATTGCAATAATGAAAATGTTGTTCACACCTGGAATTATTATTAAATAAATTGATAAGATGTATTGGAGGAGAGCAACGAAAATGGCGGAGTGTAACAGCTCGGTCCCGGGGTTTGTGGAGATTTAATCTCATTTAATCTAAGCTGATAAAAATAGTATCAGCCAATATGGTGTCCTGTAAAATAAGTGAATTTAGCGTGTATCTGGAAAAGTTCAGATACAAAGTGAAACTATTAAAATAAGGATGATACGAATGAAAACATGAGATGGTGGAGAATCTACAGTTCCCGCCACATCAAATATGTGCGTCTGCCGCTGTGAATTTAATCTGACTACAGGTAATGTATCTATTTATGGCCAGTATTAGTCGCCTGCTGATAAGGCGGCGCTAAGATATATCACCAAGATCATAATTTGGTGAGTAGGTTAGTAGCGATTCCTGACGCTGGTCTTCGTTATATCATGACCCACAACTAGAGCTTTTGGTCATCTGACCGAGACCTTCTACTGGCTTACTACTTTAAAAATTATGGTCCAGGTTATTACCACTTTTGGTGAGTAACATTTAAATGTTACTCATATATTTTTTAAATCTGTTCACAATTTTAGGTACAGATGTGTGAGGGTAAGCAAGGAAGGAGGGTCCAGGGACTGTACCTCAACATTACCGAGGTACATAATGGGTCCAGGGACTGTACTTCAACATTACAGAGGTACATAATGGGTCCAGGGACTGTACCTCAACATTACCGAGGTACATAATGGGTCCAGGGACTGTACCTCAACATTACAGAGGTACATAATGGGTCCAGGGACTGTACCTCAACATTACAGAGGTACATAATGGGTCCAGGGACTGTACTTCAACATTACAGAGGTACATAATGGGTCCAGGGACTGTACTTCAACATTACAGAGGTACATAATGGGTCCAGGGACTGTACCTCAACATTACAGAGGTACATAATGGGTCCAGGGACAGTACCTCAACATTACAGAGGTACATAATGGGTCCAGGGACTGTACCTCAACATTACAGAGGTACATAATGGGTCCAGGGACTGTACCTCAACATTACAGAGGTACATAATGGGTCCAGGGACTGTACCTCAACATTACAGAGGTACATAATGGGTCCAGGGACTGTACCTCAACATTACAGAGGTACATAATGGGTCCAGGGACTGTACCTCAACATTACAGAGGTACATAATGGGTCCAGGGACAGTACCTCAACATTACAGAGGTACATAATGGGTCCAGGGACTGTACTTCAACATTACAGAGGTACATAATGGGTCCAGGGACTGTACCTCAACATTACAGAGGTACATAATGGGTCCAGGGACAGTACCTCAACATTACAGAGGTACATAATGGGTCCAGGGACTGTACCTCAACATTACAGAGGTACATAATGGGTTCAGGGACTGTACCTCAACATTACAGAGGTACATAATGGGTCCAGGGACTAAGTGTGTACCTGTGAAATTCACCCAGATAATTTGTTGCATTATATATAAAATTCCTCACATTGTTTTATTGGCTTGTTAGTCTAAGTTTGCCAGAAATGTTCTGCATGTGCTTTCAAATTTGTACAAACATTGTATCATCGTCAAATTAATTATTATTATATTAGTATTATTATATTACTATTATTATATATAAGACATATACAACAAATTTCCCCCCAAAAATTCCAAGACCGTAGGCATACTATCGAAGATACGGTACTATGTTCCACAGTCAGCCTTCCTGGCCCTATATCACTCACTTATTTACCACTATCTCACCTATGGAATTTGTGCATGGGGCTCAACAACAATAAACCATCTCAGACCACTAATTACCCAACAAAAGGCTGCAGTCAGAATGATAACAAATTCTCACTACAGGCAGCACACTCCACCAATATTCAAAACACTAAACCTACTCACCATACAAAACATCCATACTTATTACTGCACTTATTACATACATAGAACACTTAACTCTGATATAAACCCTCCCCTCAAACATCTTACCAACCTCAACAGAACACATGACCATAACACAAGGCACAGATCACTCTTTGATGTTCCTCGTGTCCATCTCACGCTATGCAAAAACTCAATGCACATAAAAGGCCCTAAAATCTGGAATTCATTACCTGTAAATATAAAAGAAACACTACCTGTTTATAAATTCAAGTCTCTTCTCAAAGATCACTTACTCACCCACAACTAAATAAATACTGAATAATTGTATCTCATAAATTGTATCTCATATATGTATCTTATTAATATACCTGTGACCCAATCAAACTTTGTTACTATTTAACTTCATTACCTAACATAATACTCCATTCTACTGATTACACAGTAACACAGTAAATGACCATATGACCTGTCTTTGTAATACTCATTTGTACTAAATTGTTATCTGTTTACAATAATTTTTGTACCACTGAATATATCATTGCTTAGTTAATCTTAAGTTAATTTTAAGCTGCCCATAATGCTCTGCATACAAGGGGCTTTGGCATGCTGCACTGTAATAACTTTGTACCTCACTGTATCATGTTCAAATTAATAAATAAATAAATAAATAAAATTATTATTATTATTATTATTATTATTATTATTATTATTATTATTATTATTATTTAATTTAAAATATTATTTTTATTAATATTTTATTGGTATTTAATTATTATTATTATTATTATTATTATTATTATTATTATTATTATTATTATTTATTATTATTATTATTAATAAAGGTTCGCCGGTATTCTCCCGGCCCGGGCCTTTTCCAAGTGGTGGCCCGGCTTTGTCTCCCTGTCTTGGGAGTGTCTGAGACCTAAGTCTTCCATGGGAGGAGGCACAAGTACCCCCTCATCTTTGTGACCAACTGTCCCCAGGCCTAGCCACAAGCTAGGCCTCTCTGGTCTGCCATCCCCGTCCCTGGGGGGTTAATGGGAAGGACAGTCTTGTGAGCGACAAGCTCGGGATCAGGCACCTACCCTGCCCTCGAAGGGCTAGGCATGGTGTCGATGATCAATTATTATTATGTCATTATTTAATTATTATTATTTTATTAATATTTTATTGTTATTTAGGTATTATTATTATTATTAATTATTATTTTATTACTGTTATTTAATTATTATTATTTAATTATTATTATGATTTATTTAATTATTATTATAAAGAGAGCTGGGAAGTTTGGAATACTATATATAAAGGCAAATAACTTGAATATGAGACAATGTTTTACTGTGCATATTTTCTCATGATAGTTTTCATTGTCTTTGCTATATGTGATATATACGATGTACTTGTAGAAATAATGATCCTATTGTTAATCATCATGTAACTTAAGACCTGCGTCAGGAAACACTTGCCTTGTTTCCTGACAAACATTACCTAACCTAACCTTTATGTTGTGAGTAGGAAAGTGTTTCTGCAACTGTACTCACCGATTTTTTGTGGTTGCAGGGGTCGAGACTCAACTCCTGGCCCCGCCTCTTCACTGACCGCTACTAGGTCTTTCTCTCTCCCTTCTCCATGAGCTTTATCATACCTCGTCTTAAAACTATATCACAGCCTAGTGTCACAGTTTAGTGTCCTAGGGCCACAGCCTAGTGTCCTAGTGCCACAGCCTAGTGTCCTAGTGCCACAGCCTAGTGTCCTAGTGCCACAGTCTAGTGTCACAGCCTAGTGTCTTAGTGGCCCGGTGGCCTGGTGGCTAAAGCTCCCGCTTCACACACGGAGGGCCCGGGTTCGATTCCCGGCGGGTGGAAACATTTCGACACGTTTCCTTACACCTGTTGTCCTGTTCACCTAGCAGCAAATAGGTACCTGGGTGTTAGTCGACTGGTGTGGGTCGCATCCTGGGGGACAAGATTAAGGACCCCAATGGAAATAAGTTAGACAGTCCTCGATGACGCACTGACTTTCTTGGGTTATCCTGGGTGGCTAACCCTCCGGGGTTAAAAATCCGAACGAAATCTTATCTTATCTTATCTTAGTATCCTAGTCTGTGTCGTAGCTCGATTGGTAGCTCACTCAGCTCACACACTGAAGTCTGTGGTTCGATCCCCGGTACGAGTGGAGACATTAGGAGTTGAGGACGTATATCCCTAAGACACCTGCTGTCACTGTTCACCTAGCAGTAAGTAGGTACCTGGGTGTTAGTTGACTGGTGTGGGTGGCATCCTGGAGAACAAAATTAACCTAAGTTGCCAGAAATGCTCTACATAACCAGGAACTTTCTCTATAGTATATCATTGGTGTCAGCTATGGTCTGTATAAGTTGTATCATGTAGTGCTAGAAATAAGCATTATTATTATTATTATTATTATTATTATTATTATTATTATTATTATTATTATAGTATGTCACTGTTGTCAGCTATGGTCTGTATAAGATGTATCATGTACTGCTAGAAATATACATTATTATTATTATTATTATTATTATTATTATTATTATTATTTATTTTCTGACAATACTTCCTTATAAAGGTGAGAGTAAGACACTTGTGCAACATCTGGGTATCTTTATTGTAGACGTTTCGCCATCCAGTGGCTTTATCAATACAAATTCTAGGACATAACTTGAAGACAGTAGAACTATGTACAGAAGATGAGGTAATCAGTCCCTCAACCTAGGAGTAGGTGCGAACAGCACCATAGACTATGGTGCTGTTCGCACCTACTCCTAGGTTGAGGGACTGATTACCTCATCTTCTGTACATAGTTCTACTGTCTTCAAGTTATGTCCTAGAATTTGTATTGATAAAGCCACTGGATGGCGAAACGTCTACAATAAAGATACCCAGATGTTGCACAAGTGTCTTACTCTCATCTTGTCGGTATTATATACCATTCGTACACACTTCCTTATAAAGGACCAAACTCCACAAATTTACATCTCCACGTCTTCCACTGTGACTAGTAATAATTATAATAATTTCTGTATTCAACTGAGGAAGTACAACACTTGGGTGTCTTTAGTGTTGATTGGAACGTTTCGCTCACACAGTCGGCTTCTTCAAAGACTTAGACAGCAGTCGTTGTGGTGAAGATTATGCCATCAGTCCGTCAACTTTGGTGAAATAGTGTTTGAGAGGGTCAGTCCCTCAGCCTGGTGTGGGTGGTAGTTACACCATACCCATGGTGTGGGTGGTAGTTACACCATACCCATGGTGTGGGTGGTAGTTACACCATACCCATGGTGTGGGTGGTAGTTACACCATACCCATGGTGTGGGTGGTAGTTACACCATACCCATGGTGTGGGTGGTAGTTACACCTACCCATGGTGTGGGTGGTAGTTACACCATACCCATGGTG